TAGGTCAAAATTTTGCTTATATATCAATGAAATAAAAATAACATATAAGCCAATATTACTATTTTAATACAAGAAAATTTACTGGAAGAAAAAATACTAAAATGTTAGCAAAGATAATATGAATATTTGTTGGTCTTGTTTTATACTCTTTTTATTCCTTTTATGTCCTGCCAATTTTGAGTAGACTAAAGAGTTTGACACTTCTGATTTGTGATTCATTCATATTCTGTTACCATCTCTGCACTTTGCCCCCTTTTTACCTTGTCCTTCCTTGGCAATGTCTGCAAGGTGGTAAGAGAGAGAATTTTGGAACCAAGAAATGAGGGACTGGGGAGGAGGATGATCGGTTTTTTACTGTCTGGATTCTTGGTACTCTGTCCCAGAATATACGGATCCTTCATTGGAAAAACACTGAAGAATGACTTTCCTTCTGCCTCTTTTTATTTTGCAGGAAACACATGAAATTGTGGCAATCAAGAAATTCAAGGACAGTGAAGGTATATATGTTGTTTTTTTCCTTCTTTACTAAGTTTTTGTAAAGAAAGTGTGAAAGAGGTGGGATTTAGCTGGTTAGACCCTATGTATTCCTGAAAATTTTTTTTCTGGTACTGGGAATTGAACTCAGGACCTTGTCCTTGCCAGGCAGGCAGCACCGCTGAGCTACATCCCCGGCCCTATTCTTGAAATTTTAAAGTCACAGTCTCAGTGAATATAGCTTATCTATTATGATTTGCTTTGAGATATTTATTTCCTTCTATGTGAATCTTTTATCTCATGATATTAGAAAGTTTATCTTGTGTTTTAAGATAAAATTGACATTGGAAATCTTGCTCTAAATGGTAGATAGAAAGTCATCCACACTGTTTTTAAATGTAATTAAAATGAAAATGCTGATTTAAAGTAAATACTTCTGTTGTTCACACAAGTAGTGAATGCTGTATGAAAGATTTCAGTATTGAATGCTGTGATCTCTAGCTCTTACTCAGAATTAGAAATACAAGGCTAAGTAGGAGACAGTTATTAACAGGGTGATTTTCTATTTGGAATCACTCATTGGGAGAACAAATGCTTCTCAAAAAGAAATATCATACTTGGAGATCTTGATTATATATTCAGACCATTTCAAATGGAGTATATTACTCTGTAATGGGCTTGAAAGTTTAAAAGAAAAAAAGCATTTCTGTAGTTCTTTAGTTGTAAAATCTTGACTCTTTGCCGTCCAAAGATAGCCATGTGGAGAAATTGATCTTTGAAAATATGCATGTCCTTTAATGAACTCTGGGTAGTGTTTTTTAAAATATTTTGGACAGAGACCTCAGTAAAAATATATTTTATATCCTAACCTTGTGTCCATACACATTCTATACTATATGCAACTGAAGTAAAAGTGTCACAAACCACTTTATCATACTACTGTAAGGTACTTCATTTTCTGTTCTTTCCTGTTCATATAAATTTATATAAATGCCTATCATGGCATCAGATACCTTGATTCCACCACTAATGAGTCACAACCTGCCATTTGAAAAACAGTGGTTTAGGAATAAGAGATACCAGCATAGTATTAACCTTTACATCTAATCAGCAATATAAAGATAGCTGTCATAGCCTACCTTCATCAGCATACATTTACTAAGCACTGTAAGACACTAGCTTCTTATTTATAAACCATTTTATTGCCCTTGCCTCAGAATTAGCAAACATGAAGTAATAAAAAGAGCTTGTTAACAAAAAGTTGCAGGATAATTCAGTAGTATTTGATGTAACTGCACTCTGACGTGCTGGCTATGTGGAGCATGTACGTATAAGCTGGGAACTTCAGCAGCCATTGTGAGGGCAGCCTTAAAGGAAGGCATTGGAAAAATGCTTTTAGCTTCTGGTCCTGGGGCAGGGGCATGCTTCAAACAGTGTGCCTGTGGTCTAACAGAAAAAGTAGCCCTGAGCCAACCCACTGTGAGACCATCGGAAATGAACCCTTTGAGCGGTGACTTTGGGCTAACGACAGGTGGCCCAGAGACAAATGGTGATCTAAAAAAAGTAATTGCAATAGTAGATCAAAGCACAACCTTTGCATGCGTTTAGAGAGTTCTGGTTGTGCATTCATCTTGCAGGGCACATTGGCAAGCATCAGTTACCACAAAAAATAATAATTATCATCAAATTTTAAAAAAAGAGTACAACCTAGGCCATATATAATATTGCTATTTTAAATAAGTACCATATTCTTCAAAATCTCTATACAGTATATACCAATGTTTATCTCCAATTACACGATAAATTTTAAAATTTTACCCGTGCCATCAAGAGTGTGTCCATAAAAATTCATTGAGCCCTGAGCCAGGAGCTTTCAGAGCAATACAAGTAACTCAAGATGCTTTCAAGAAGCTTTGACCTGTTAGTAGAATTAAGACCTGTAAATAAATAAATAATAAAACAGACTAGAAAACAGTTTAGTGCCTGAATGGAGACATGCAATTTGGATCATTTTGAGGCAAGAAAGATTATGTCTAGCTGTGGCATCCAGGAATGCATGTATAGTTTAGACATGGAAAACATTCGGTCTGCCTCTACATCTCTGAATAAACAAAACATTAATCTGTTCTGTCCTCATTTCTGCCAGACCATTATTGTTCCTCACTGGCCTGCAGTCTTGTCACACATCCCACAGTGTTAATGCACACCTACATATGCAACACATACTTGGAGAGGGACACTTTCAAAACATTTCTTTGACAGAATCTGAAGAGGTATCCAGTTACTCACAAACTTAAACTTTTTAGTTCCAGTCCTATTATAGGCCCACTTTCCTACTGTTTCCAGTTCTCCTTGGAAGATCTAGTACTGTCTTCTCTGTCTTTACCCTTTTTCTCCAGCCAGTGTAGTGTCTTAATGCAAAGAAAGGGTAGATACGTGGTGAACAGCCCTTTTGGAGTGTGAAGTGTACATGCATAGTTTTGTACGGGTGAAGATTTCCATTTAATTCCTATGTAAACTATTTAATTCTGAATTAATTTTTTAAGTTTAGTCAAGCCTTTTATAATAAACAATATTATATGCCCTTATTGTCATATAGCTCTCATTCATCCCTTTTATTAGTTATTCTGAAAATATTCTTTTGATATGGTGATGGTGATTATTTTAAATCCAATGCTTAAAATCTTTGTGAAGATAATGAAATAGTTCTATTTAAACAGTGTTAAACTGAAATAGGACCTGTACTTGGTCAGACCCATTTTTAAGCTAATCAAGTATTCTGGAAGTAAAAAAAGTATTCTCTAAGTGATGATATAAAGGGATGTTTTGTGAGAATATATATTATCTTCTAGCAGCTTTGAAAGATTGATAATGTCCTACTGTCTTGTTAAATTCATGTGTATACACAGATTTATGTAAAACATTTTTATGACTACATTTTAAGGTAGACCACTATAGTTCAAGAAGTCCTTACTGTCCCAGCCCAGGATATTAGATCACTATTTTAAATGGCAATCAAAATTTTATAGTAAATACAAGATTATATTGGGACTTTAAAATGGAAACGTGAACCTAAAATTATAAAAATAAAGAGGATTATTCAAAATATATAAAAAAGATTTTGTCAGTTTTTTCTTCATTTTTCATATTCCTTTCTGTCTCCATCTTTTTCAGGTTTTTATTATCTAGCTGTTAGCTGATATAACTCCATGAGATTATTTATCAGTGTCTTTGCCTATGATTCTCCCCAAAAGATTTTGATGCCCTGGTGGGGACAAAAATTCCCATTGAGAGGAAAGAATGGACCAGGCATGGTGTCACACAGCTGTAATCCCTGGGAAGCTGAGGCAGGAGATTCACAAGTTTCGCCAGTCTGGGCAATATTGAGACTCTGTCTCAAAATCAGAAATAAAAAGGCTGGACGCAGTAGTGCAGGCTTGTCCCAGCACTCAGTAGACTAAGGCAGGAGGATCACTGTGAGTTCAAGGCCAACCTGAGCTATATAGGGAGACCCTGCCTCAAAAATAAATAAGTAAATAAAAAAAATAAAAAAGAGCTGGAGATGTAGCCCCTGGGTCCAGTCCCCTGTAACAAACATACATGAGAGGTGGGGGAGAGAAGAAAGAGGGAAGAAAAGAAATGTTTGATGACAAATTTTTATCTGATTTGTTTTGAAAACTTCTGCTTCTTGAAATTTGGAGTCATGGATAGTGAATTCTTAATGATAATATGAATTAGAATATTATAAATTATCTATTAATCAAATTGGTACAGAGAAACATTGACTAGTAAATACCTAACTGACTAGAAGTCTTCTTTAGTTCTGCTATTTAAATTTTATAAGAGGAAAAAATGACCACATACTGCAAAGATACTAGATATTATTTAGGTACAAAGTAATTTTCAGACTATATATAGCCTAATTCTCCCAATCTTGTACCATGAGATGTAAGATTTGATGTTCAGATGATAATCTTCTATCACTGTTGATCGTACACATATGATATGTACAAGTGCCTGCTGTCCTAAATTTGTTAAATAATCCAAGAGCACTGACTTAGACCAGATACTTTGGACTAGCTAGAATTAAAAATATGGTCTTTTAAACCTTTTCTGTAGGAGAGCCTAAGGTTTAGATTTATTTTGGATCTTCCTTTTGTGTCTTTGGACTTTTTGATCATGAACATACAGACAATGGGATGAGGTGGGTCCTCCCTATTTATCAGTAGGCATCAGTATATGTCTAGGAAGCTGACTCCAAGGGACCATGCAGCAGTCCTTGTTTTATGTGGAATTTAGGTTTTCTCTGTCTTTGTAGCAAATAATATTGCTTGCATTTTATATATCCTGCTGTTGCTAATGTTTTCTGTAGATAAGTATTTTTCTCTCGGAATGAATGTATTCTTGTTAATTATTAGAAAATGTTTAATTATCTATTCTTTTCTCCCAATTTATTTCATTCTCATTTTTAGTGAGACCCTAGAAAGCATTATTCTGATCTCTTTTATTGCATAACATTATAAAACATTTATAAAATAAAAGTTCATAATCTTGAGTCCTTAAATTCAAGAACCTAAAGTCTCCTTTAGAGAGGCCTTGAAACAAAATTTCCAACCCTTGATTAACAAAGAATTTGATTAACTGAGCTTGAGCATCCTGGCTAGTTATGACTTCACTTTTCCTTTTTATACCAAAATGGATCTCTTTCAAACCTCAGGGATTCTTCGAAGATTGGGTGACCATTTTGCACTTTCATGATTTCATAAATTTCTACCATCTTTTTACCTGCCCTTCATCTCTGAAGATTGAAAGGCCCTTATCTCTTTTGGTACAGAAAACAGTAGCACCAACATTCAAACTTCCCTGGCTATGTTAATTGCCCTACTGCTGATGTCTTTTCTTCAATGAGGACAGTCAGAATCAAACATGGTGCTCCTATGGTTTTGTACAAGGATGGATTGAGTTTTCTTTTTCTGTGTATTTGTTTAAAGGTCTGCTTTGGGGGCCTCTTTGGCTATACAAAAATTTCAGGTTTGTGATTTCATAAAGTAGGTTACAGCTATTCTTGGATTTCTTTTCCAAGCCCACAGTTCTTTAAAAATAGTTACAATAGTTTTTGCTCATCTTTAGATTTTTCTTTTCATCACTTATGTTTGAATTTCTTTTGCTTCTGTGATCTTTCCTCTTAAAAATTGTTCCCTTTTACTTTAGTGAATCTCTTGATTTTTAGTTGTGTTAGCTTGCTTCACCTACGGTAAGCCTATATAGGTAGGTCAGATTTTTTGTTTATTTTTAATGTGCTTTTTTTCTACTGTGTCACTTAGTCCTCACTCAGTGGAGTTATATATTTATCTGCACATAACTTTGCCAGAGTTGCTCCTCCTGCCTTCACTAAACCCCTTCAGTGGTAACTGATGATGAGGTCAGTTACCATGCATGTAAGCAGGCATTGTGTAGAAGTGCTGACTCTTAGAGCTGGAAGAGACCTTCAGAATAATCCAGCATAACCATAACCCCAATTCACAGATGATAAGCTTGTATATGATTAATTGAGACTAAAATGCAAACCTAGGAGCTTCCTTGAGTTTTTCTTCCACCCATACTATGCTGCTTAGCCACTTGGCTTTAGCAGTAAGCCAAGTGGCCCAGTTTAGTAGTAGAGTCTAGACCTAACCCTGGGTGTTCTGACTCATTCTCCAAAATTCACCGTGCTATACCATGTCCCCTGGGTGATTGTGTTCAGCTCAGGCTAAGAGGTAGAACATGACCTTCAGTCCACTCACCCTAAGAAAGTTAACTTTTGTTTCTTTTGTTAACTGGAGGAACCAGCCCAGGTAGAGAATCTAAAAGGATTATTTCAATTGTGAGACAGTGATTTTGGTGGTCTGTGCTGCTACCTTTAAAAACTGCCCATTGAAATGCTTTGCTATTTTCTGCTTCTTTGAGGAGAGAAGCATGTGAACTGTTCATACTTTTTCCCCATCATATCATTTGTTGCCACAATTTTCATCATAGAGTGTAGGTTAGGCTGGGAACCTAGAGAAACAAAATTATAGGATGTCCAAGTAATGAAGTGTGCATTTTGCTAGCCCTTCAGGAATTAATAACTTGACTTCCTGACTGTTCCCCTTCATTACAATTTTAATGCTCAAGTGCTTGCCTTAACCTTTTTTTTTTTTGGTACCAGGGATTGAACTTGGGACCTTGCAGGCGGCGAAACCGCTGAGCTAAACCCCCGGCCCCTTGCCTCAACTTTTAATAGAAGCTGCTCAAGTGAGGTTGTTCTGGCACTACATGCTAGGGGATTTATAGCGTGCTGCTTTTTGAAGGGTCATTTATCTTTTCTCTTTGTAGCCATTACTAAGTGGAGTCAGTATAGATTTGAATGATATATATATATATAATAAATTACCAAAATGCAATGATGTTTAGGTTTATAATCAGTAACACTTTAGTGAAAAGAAATCATAGATTCTTAGATTTAGAAAGGGCCATAGGATTTTGGATAGGGGCATTTATTTACTGATGAAAGAGTAAGTGGCTTGCCCAAAGTTACATGTCATACTGTCATTTGGTTAAAAGGCTGATTCTGAAATCTAGATCCCCACAGACCTATTCCGATGTTTCTTCTGACCATTCTGACTCAGCTATTCTGATGGAGTTTTATCCATTAGCAAAGTGAAACTGACACAAATTGGTAATAATATGAAGTGTCCCTTTTTCACTTGCTTTTCATGTGCTGGCTGATTCACCAAGCATTTGATTAGGGATAATATACCAGCTATATTTATTAGCAACTTTGTACCCAGCTCCAGCATAGCTTATGGATGCTCTTAAGAATTTTACACAGATTTTACACACACACATATTGTTTACCCAGAGTACTATCAGTTTTCTGGATCCTCCATTTTTCATAGTCATATATGATAGAAACAACTCAGGTGAGAGGTGAATAAGGGAAAATAAATTTAGTTTGTCTTATTACATAATAAGCAGCCTTCTGAGCTTGAAAGAGAAGACTGAAAGTGCTGTACTTGAAACCAAGAGGGTCACAGTCAAAATGCAGGCTCACTAAAAATATTGTATAAAGTTACCTTCAGTCTGTATGTATAAGGTGTATACAAAGCATAATGCATTCTGTGTAGAGTCCCAACTCCAAGATACATTATGTATATGTACATATTTCAAAATCTGAAACACTTGCCATTTCAGATAAAGGAAACGTAATGTGTATCAAAAAGTAAGGCAGCCACTGAAAGCAAAGCCCAGAGAGTACTATGACAAGGAATAGTGGGGTAGGGGCCTACTTGCTTTGCAGTCTGGCAAAGGCCCTTGAGGAACAATATTTCAAAGAAACCCAAAGGAGCCAGCAACGATGTAAAGAGCTGAGGTTCTAGGCTGAGCATTCTGGACACAGGGAACAAATACAAGGTTCTACCACTGAAAAATTAAGTTCAGGTGTGTTTTCAGAACTGAAAGACTAAGGTGAGGGAAGGGGAAAGAAGCATGAGATGGGAGTTTCCAGAAGCTGCTTTTGGAGACTGGTAGTGGTCCCTGGCTACAGCAGCTGGGGCTGCTGTTGCATTCTAATAGCCGTCAGATGCCACTTCTTGAGCTCAGCTCCAACTTGCAGAACAGCTAACCTTTTGTCCCCTGACAAACCTCTAAGCCTCTTGGGGAAGTGCCCTGATTGCCTCTCACCCATTCCTCCTACTGCTGGATAGCATCTATTTGTCATGTTCTCTTCTAATTCGGGGCCAGTTCCCTGCTTCTGCCACCACTAGCCTTTCCTACCACTGGCTCTTGTCTTTCTGTAGGCATAATTGCTGTCCTTTCCTAACCTGTGTTCCAGCGTTCTCCAACCACTTTCTGGCTGAAGTAGAATACTTTGCTTATGTAACCAGTTCAAAAAAGAGTATGTACTTTATGTTCCTTCTTTGTTACAGATACTCCAGTGCTACAAAGCCCCTGCTTTTATTAGTTTCTTTTCTTTAAGTACAGTTGAAAGGAGGTTGGGAGAGGGGGCTGAGATAAGTTGAGAAGTACTCCTGGCTCTGAGTTGACATTCTCTCCCCCCTCTTTATCCCCATCACCATTCAGCCTTTTCCCTCTTGTGTGCCTTGCTTAGAAAGCATCTCGTCCTAGAAGGCATAGTCTTTCTTGTCCCCATTCCTAAACTCCATGTTCTTCTTCCTCAGACTTGAAGATGTGCCTGAATTTGAGGTCATGCAACTTAAGCTCCCAAGCTAGGATTCTGGCCCTTACCCCAAATTTTGAGGCCAAATGTGTTATAGAATTTGTAACTGGAATTTTAGAATGGAAATGTGGCATGTTGTATAGTGCCCTGTAATAAGTAGTATTTCTATAGCACAACATATGAATGAATAGTCATATTAGGTATGATAAACCAAAGACCATAAGTGGTCTCATGTCAATTCAGGTTTACTTCTAAATTAGTTTATCCCAAACATAGAGAAAATTTCAGTTTTTAAACTATTTTTGGGACTGAGGAATTACAGGTGAGGGATAGGGATTATGAACCTGCACCTTTGTGCATGCATATGAAAACAGTGGTTAGGATTTCCTCACAGTCTGAAATTATCATAAGCACTCATTTCAAATGAAATACTGGCTCCTGGCTCTCCTGCCCATTAATGCCTCAGAGTTAATGTGACTTCTGTCCTTCCTTCATGTCTGTGGAGGTTATCATGAGTGAAGTTGATGGTATTACAGAACAGATAACTGGTTCAGCATAAGTTCTCTGTCCCAGAACAGCTACGCCATCTGGGATGGACAGATGGACATGCCACAGGAAGGCAGCAGGAACCCACAGCAGCTGCTGTGCAGAGAAAAGATCAGAAACTCTAAGAATTTCTGCAATTTGGCTACAAGCTGGATTGTGGATGCCTGATACATGGCCTCTACTCACTGAGGTTGTGGATGTGCAGCCTGAGGAATAAAATGCGCTTATAAGCCAAAGCTTGAGGCCAGCCTTAAAGACATCAACTGCTACAGATGCTGGCTGCACAGAGGCTCTGCACACTGATATGGCTGATTCTCATGACTCTTTTAAATACTTTCTGCTCCGGTACAGAGAACTCTAGAGGTAAAATGACACTTGGTTCATATGTTGCATCTATAAATTCATGTTTTTACACATATACTTTGTAGTAAGGAATATACGAAAATACAAGCAAACAATCAAGTTTAGGCTAGTCAAGTAAACCTTTTCTTTTGAGTTTCTCATTCTTGATCCTTTCAACAAGAAAATGTGGTATTTAAGAGTCTTCCTGTGGACATCTTAAGCAGAAGTGCTCAAAGTAGAAGATTACATTGGGATGTTTTCAGTGCTCTTAAAATTCTGTGACTAGCAGATTGAAATTTTAAATTTTTCTTTCTTCACCATTGTCTACATTCTAGAAAATGAAGAAGTCAAGGAAACGACTTTACGAGAGCTTAAAATGCTTCGTACTCTCAAACAGGAAAACATCGTGGAGCTGAAGGAAGCCTTTCGTCGGCGGGGGAAATTGTACCTGGTGTTTGAATATGTCGAAAAAGTAAGCCATTGATTGCCAATGTGCAGATTTGCCTGGTTCTTTTGTTTAGTACCACTTCTTACATTATTAAAGAAAGTATTATTATTTAATATAATTTGTTGATCTCATAATCTGAGAACTTTAAAAATGAAACTATTATCCATCATCATTAGAGGTCCTGAAATATATTTGAGGATATTGTAAAATTGAACAATTCAAAGATAATCTTACATTCAAGCAATATACTGATTTGGCTTCTGAAGTTTTAGAATCTATGTCTCAAGTGATTTTTTTAGACTTATTTTAATTAAACTCAAAGCCTCTGAGGGAGAAATGGATAAACTGATGATACAAGAGGTATGTATCAGATCCCACAGAAGAGAAGAAAAGCACGCATTGTTCCAATTGTCTTCAAATTAAAAAAAAAAAAAAGATTACCTTATTAGTGACTTTGGCAGGGTTGATACTGGGGATTGAACCCAGAGCCTTTCCACTGAGCTACATCTCTAGCCCTTTTTTGTATTTTTTGTGTTTTGTTTTGAGGCAAGGTCTTGCTAAGTTGCTTAGTCTGGGCTGGCACTTGTGATCCTCTTGCTGGTATTATAGGCATGCAGGTAGTAACAATTTTAATGATGTGCTCTAAGGGCAAACGTATGCTGTCGTAATCAATATTAGGTGCCTGGAGATTTCCTGGAGAGCAGCTGATGTGCGCATTAGTTATGGTCAAGAATTTAACAGTAGAAGAAACTAGAGCCAGAGGAACCTTTTGGAAGTTTCCTTGCTGAGTAAATAGGTGGTCCTGCTGATTTCCTTTGCTATTATTTAATGAAGATTGGAGCTGGAAAATTGCTTTAGGTCAATTCCCAGGTTCTTGTGCCATAAATGTTACCATTGTCGTCATCAAATGGGAAACAGTGTTGTCAAGATAACTGACCACTAATGTGAGTTAAAATTCATTCAATCATTACAAATTATTTTGTGAAATAAATATGTATGTAGTAATTTTATTACTAGCAAAACTTGAAAAATACAAGAAGACTTTATCATTTTAAAGAACTACTTTTACGCTCGTTTTCCAAAATCTGTTTTAAGTTTCCTTTTCTGTGTCAGATCAGTGATGGTGAACCTTTTAGAGCTTTCAATGATAATGAATGGCCTGCTGCAGCACACATGCCATAAGTTTACTACCACTGAATTAGATATTCTCCAAAAGTATTTTCCCTACCAAAATAACATTAGAAGTTGAGATTTTAAAAAAGGTTTAAGAAAAGGATTCCAGGGAAAATCAAATGTTCTTTATTTTTTAGTTGTCACAAACAATCACATAATTTACAGTTTTCACTGTAATTAAAAATTTAATTAAAAATGTAATTGCATTAAAATGTAATTAAAAATTAAAATTTTGACAAATCTAGCATTTTTTTTCTAGTCCATTCATGGTTATTGTTCATGATAAGTAATAATCAAATATAACAAATGGAGAGCTCACCAGTGTGTATCTGCAATTTGGTATATCTTTCTCTCTGCTGTTAAGTAGCAGAGCTGCTACCAGAACTCCAGTCTTCTGATAGCCAGGCCTGGGCTTCTCCCCTGCTCCTGTGGTTGTCACATGGAAGGTGATCTTCCCATCAGTGGCAGTACCTTACAGTCGACTCTGAGTCTTAGGAAGACAAAGAGAAGGATGCTTTAAGGCAGTGATGGCGAACCTTTTAAAGGTTGCAATGATAACAAACAGCTGGCTTCAGCATGTGTGGCATAGGTTTCCCACCACTGCTTTAAGGGATAAGAGGTTGGAAACAGAAACCCATGATTACATTGCCTTAAAACAAGATAGAAAATTTTTTTTCCCTCACAGGCGAATACAAAGGTAAGCAGTACAGGAGTGATATGATGGCTCTGCCACATAGTAGGAAGTCCAGGCTGCTTCTGCTTTTTTGCTCCACCACTTCTGAGATGGGGACCTTGTCCTTAAGATCAATATAGAGCTCCAACTGTCACATCCCATTGCCAGGACATAGTTGAATGGTCACATTACCTGCAAGGCAGAAGGGAGATGTGCTTTTCATTCTGGGCTGCTAAGTCCCCACCTGAAAATTGTATTCCTATAGAGTAAGGGAATAATGGCCATCGGGGAACAGTATCTCTGCCACTACCACTACCACTGAGGAACCTAGAGCAGAATATGAAATGGGGGATACAATTTGTTTTCTATACTACAAAGTCATCTTATTCTTCCTGTGTATTTGGGACCTCCTGTATATTTATTAATTGAAAAAGGCAATTAAAGTGGAGAATCATGGGCCGGGGATTTAGCTTAGTGGTTTCACCGCCTGCTGCGCAAGCACAAGGACCTGAGTTCGATCCCCGGTACCAAAAAAAAAAAAAAGTGGAGAATCATAACAAATGATGCATTATTACATTCTTTAAACATTTTATTTTAACTGAAAGCATAAATATACATGTATTGTGCTTTAGCAGTAGGTCAAGGTCTTTTGCTTGTTGCTCTTTTGATTAAAGTTCTGATTGGTCTTTCATACATACATCATACCCATAATGTACCTTTACAAGTGAAGCAAATGCTCAGAAACACTTGCAAAACAATCTCACAGAGTCCTTCAGTATTTATCATCATCACTAGCCTCTGTCCCTTACCGGTGTTTTATAGATGTTTGACTCACCTTTGATTAGAAAGTAATGTGTTTTGTGGCTTTCCTTTATTAAGTCTTTCAAAGTACTCAACTTTGTTTTCTTACAAACAACAGCTCTCTTTTAAAACTAAAAACATTATTTCATTGGTTGATGTGATACTTAATTTGTTTTTAAAAAACCAAGTACAGGGGCCGGGGATTTAGCTCAGTGGTTTCGCCACCTGCTGCGCAAGCGCAAGGACCCAAGTTCGATCCCCAGTACCAAAAAAAACACAACCAAGTACAGATGGTCTTTTAGACAGTATGTAGTATTTTAATTATCTTTGTATATGTCCTGTCTTGAATTATCATCCTTTAGTGGTCTAAAACCCACTCTTTAAAAAATCCTACCAATAAAACTTCTTGATAATAAAAAAAACACCCCAAGTGCATCTGTTATAAATAGGTATGAGAATAAACACAAGTGATTCTTCATGAGTACACAGTTCAGTAAGAACAAAATTATGAGGCATTGTAGACTGTTTGCTGTCACATGCAAGGCCTTGGGTTCAATCCCTGGCACTGAAAAAAAATTCATTTAAAAATAACAATGATAAACCCATTAATGCTAGTTAACATAAATAAGTTTATGTGTCAACCATTCTTTCAAGTAAAAAATAGTGTTCCACAAAAAAGGTAGCTCAGCTTGCATAATGGTCACTCAAGTGCTGTGCTTCAAGACAGTCATAGTTCAGATGGCACATATGCAGTGGACGTGCTCTATGTGTATCTATATTTTGTTGTGTGAATTCTTGACAAGACATGGAAATTTAGTAAAAGTGATATTTTCACTGTTTCATCAAGGACATCCTTCACTAAAACTCTTGTTTTGTACTTATAACAGTGAAGGCCAGTTCTTGCTAGGGTGCCAGTAGTTTATTCATTATTGCTTTGTCCTACCAATGTAAATGCCAACATAGTGAAAAAGGTGAACATCTGAGTGCTATGATCAATATAGTTGGGCTTCATGGGTCGGTAGGTCCTCAGGCCACACTTTGACAACTGCTATCCTGGGTGGTTGTCTGGAAGTGATAAGCTATGGTTGTGCTATGGGCCTTACCAGTGTGTTTTGCAGAGAAGTCGGAGAATGTTTGGTTAATTTTGAAATTCAGTGGAAGCTGCTATCTAAAGTTCCAAGTTAACAAAATTTTGGCCTGAATTTTATAATGATTTATGGCTCCAAAGTAAAAGTTTTGAATATTAAATTGTTAGGAGCATGTAGATTTTCATTTCTGCAGTACTTTCTAGCCTGTTTTAATTTTTATACTAAATGTATTTTTGCTAATCTTAGGAATCTTTTTCTTTTCTTTTTTCTTTGTAAGAATGTTAGCCAGGTGCAGTGACACATACTTGTGATCCCTGATAGTTTGGAGGCTGAGACAGGAGGATCACTTGAGCCCAAGAGTTCAAGACTAGCCTAAGCAACATAGAAAGACCCTGATTAGAAAAAAAGAATATTATCCAAGTCACTCACAGAAATTGAGTTGACTAAAGTCTTTGAAAGATACACAACACACTGTGTTAAAATGACACTTTATAGATTAGTGTCATATCTCTACTTTGTATTCTTTTTCTCTTTAAATTATTCTAAAGATGCTTAAATGTCTCTAGGAGTAGTGAAATTACACATAATTATTATTTGGAGCAGCATAGAGGAGCAGCAAAAATGGAATTTCTCACAAAAGAAAACTGATTTAATACAGTTTCCTGGTTCACCATGACCTGAGTTGTAGGTGAAATGCAAAACAAATAAAAAAATTGATGCCTTTTAAAATTATATATAATTTATGGGCCTACCTACTTTGGGAGAATAATGGCTCTCTGTTTAACTTTTAGAATATGCTTGAATTGCTGGAAGAAATGCCAAATGGAGTACCACCTGAAAAAGTAAAAAGCTATATCTATCAACTAATCAAAGCTATTCACTGGTGCCATAAGAACGATATTGTCCACAGAGGTGAGTATGGAATTTATTAAATGGAAAATACTAAAGAAACATCAAATAAAGCTAAAATATTTGCTGTCTTAAGAATGTTTCTGTTTGAATACATTTTGAAAGTATGGGATTGAGAAGTTATTTGCCCTCCAAATCTTTTTGTACCACAAGGATGGATCATCAATATATTTAGATACTGTGGTGAGATCTTTATATAACCAGATCCACTTTGAACTGTAGAAACACCTAGTGATATAAAAGTATTCAATAATTGTAAATTTTAAGCTTCTTTGGGATGGAGGTGGGGTAGCGAATGGATGATTTCCATAGCCTTTTGGTCCTACAAGTAAACCAAGTAATGTAAATCAACTTAGGATCAGGCTTTATAGATGGTCATTGGCCCCCATTGGCACTTACATTTCATTCTTGCTTAGGGCAACAATCTTCAATATATATCTTCACCTCCTGATTTTCCCTACCCATTCAGCCATTAGTGAAAAGTGCTCATTGTATGGAGGTTTTGGGCATGATCAACCTTGCACATAGGCCATGATTATAAAATGTCTTAAGTTGTCCTTAACTGCCCCAAAGTTACTGGCTTATAGCAGTGGGAAGGAAATTATTTGCTCAGCATCATCTTTGACTCTGCACTATTTATCTTCACCTGATATTCTCTTTTGCTTTGCAGAGTTCAGTAGTGGGACACAAATTGGTATAATGATGAAGCTAAAAGATGTTTATCAGAAAATGATGCAGTGCCCACTTCTTATTTTTGAATTATCAGATAAATGAATGTTATATTTAATTTAGCTATAAAGATGCACAAGGATATCACCTTAAAATAATCTCACTTTTAAGAAAAGCTTAAAGGTCCTACGAAGAGTACCAACTCCTGTTTCTAGCATTAATAGTTGTCTTGTATTTGACTCTCATAGCAATTACTTTACAATATTGTCAGTGGTATGGATAGATCTCTTAAGTCAACTGGACATCTAGTGTCTAGGGTAATGATTCCAATAATAGGCCATATTATTTTTGAGGATATTAATGGGGAGCTGAGTTAGCTGCATTTCCATCATGAAACTGGCTTAAATTTATAGAGAATCTGTTAACTGTGAATTAGTGGTGGAAACCATGATTCTGAAATCTACAAATTTCATTACCCCTGCCCTTTGCCACTTACAGCTTCACCATATGGTATAGATGATAGGTACTATTCTCTAAAAATAGAATTGCAAGATGTCTTTCCAAAGGCAAATTCAATTGAATGCAATTCCTATTTCTGTTATTTTTTATTATTTTATTTTTTTCTATTTCTATTATTAATTTCTATTATTTTTTATTGAATTCTATTTGTGCAAATTTCTTTTTTCTTTTTTTTTTTTTGGTACCAGGGATCGAACTCAGGTCCTTGCACTTGCGCAGCAGGTGGCGAAACCACTGAGCTAAATCCCCAGCCCCATTTGTGCAAATTTCTACCTTTCAACTATCACATCTTCAAAAGATCCATGGGAAAAAATTAGAAATCATAACTTGACTCATATAGTATAGCTTCAGAATTATATACTGGTAATTGTAAACCACACAGACAAGCTAAAGAGACATGTTTATATATAGCAGTTATACAGGAAACCTTTCTTGGATTTTTTTTTCTCCAGTAAATATAATGATAGCTACTTACTCTCATAGTGTTTTTTAAGATACCTTGTGGATGTAAACATTTTATATTCTATCTGCAAAAATTTGTATTAATATTTTATAAAGTAAAAATAGTCTTCAAAATATGCTGGCCTAGATTTGGTCATTCTTAAATTCTTTTCAGAGATCCAGCTAATGCCTTAAAGAGTTAAACATGGGCTGGGGAATGTGATTAAGTGATAGAGCTCTTGCCCAGCATGCTCCAGTCTTTGCATTTGATCCCCAGTACACTAAAATCTAAAATTAAATTTTAAAGACTTACAAGGATTTTTTTAAACTGTGATATTCATATTTCTCAAAAAAATCAATTGAAACTTTATGTACCAGCATAAAATGTGTTACTCAGTTTTTATTTTATTTATATTGATTGATTGATTGAGACAGGATCTTGTTATGTAGCTCAGGCTGGCCTTGAACTCACAGTGATCCTCCTGCTTCAGCCTCCCAAGTGCTGGGATTACAGGCGTGTGCCACCACATCTGGCTAGTTACTTGGCTTTTCACTGCTGCAGTTTTTTATTAAACTTACTTTCATGGGGTTTTGTCTTGTTTTATTGTTTTTTTGGAGATGATCTCACTCACTATGTAGTCTGTGCTCACCTCAATGTCACAATCCTCCTAAGTACCAGGATTATAGGCGTGTGCCACAATGTCCGGCTTCTAGATATTTATAATTAGATGCCATTGCAGTGATGTAACATTGTCAATAAGAACATTTATATTCATTGTTTTTTAATCTTCAAACTCTAGATATAAAACCAGAAAATCTCTTAATCAGCCACAATGATGTTCTGAAACTGTGCGACTTTGGTAAGTTAAAAGAAATTGAGTCCTGTTCCTTACAGAATTAATTTAAGGTAACACATATGTAGCTTTTAAAAGGCATTTTAAATGTAATTTTTATGTTTTGAATTAAATTAGCAGAGGAAAGTTCTGTTGGCACATGGTGAAAAATTGATTGCTAGAAGAATACTACTCTCTCTTTGCTCTGTAGAGTGCTATGTACAATTTTTTAAAGTCCATCCAGTATTTGTTTCATGAAGAGTAAAGTAAATACATGTATATGTGCGCTTAATGATTCCTGTTTGGAGTAGGATAAAATATTTCACAAACTGAGGTTTAGTCATAATCACTAAAGATATGCCTGAATATGTAAATACATATGTACTGTGTATGTGCAATGATTATATGTATGTAAAGTCAAAAGCATTTTAAAAATACTTCCATTTATGAACTGTTAAATATTCAGTGAATAAGACTGGTAACTGATAAATGATATTCCAGCTCTGGATTGAATGTATAGTGGTTTTTTAAATTATTCTGTCTCCTAGTAAACAAAAAAATTATATATTATCTCCTATATAGATAACTTTGTATTAAGTGGTGTTAAACAGTTAAAATAATGTGGAAAAATTTTTAAATCATAACTGAGGATGTTAAGTGCTTGGGTCATTTTTTTAAATTATAATTTTACCTAATCTATATGCTGAAAAATAGCAATTTAATTTTTAAAATTTGTTTCATATATTCATGTATCACAAGTACAATGTAAACCTACATATATAACTAAGAATGCATCTTCTTACCATAAGCAAATTTAGATTCAGTTAGTACCCAGATGGATTGCACAAGTGAGGAATAGAAAGAATTTGCTTTGTAGAATGATCCGTTTTGCCCAGTGCGGGAGTTAGAAGTAACTGTTTTCACTAAATATTTTCTAAGAATTTGAATAATATGAACCTGCTTGTCTGAAAAAAAACTTTAATTTTCTTCATAATTCTTGACAAAAACATTGCAAAGAAGTCTTGCTCTAGCCTATTTTTAAAGAAAGAGAAAAACAAAAATGAGATATTTAATAGTTTAAATTTTTTTTTAATTAAATTTTTAAATTAATTATTTAATAATTAATATTTAATGTATGTGAAAGATTTTGATCTTGCCATTTCTAGCATTTCCTTAGCATTATGATTTTCAGGAACAGCATTGACTTCCTGTTCTGAAGTGTAAGTCCCACCCAACACAGTGACTTAGTGCACCTTAGACACCATTTACTATGGGCCATGGATCTGCTTAAATTCCAAGATTACTGAAATTTATAAAGCAGGTTATAAATACAAAAGAAATGCTTTTGGAATGATTAATAAGAGAAGAAACCACCTAGTCTAGCATTATTTATTAAGGAAAAGACTGTTCTAAATGAGCAGGAAGTTCCTCTGGGCAGCACCACATAGGTTATTCTGTGTCCTGTGTGTGCATCCCTAAGAAAGGCTTCCTAAGTGCTTTCCTTTTCAGTGCATACAGATCCTTTGTCTGGTTTGAAGAATCCCATTCAGAAATATAAATATTTCTTTAAAGTATGTCTCACAAAGAAGTATTGACTAACTGAAGTTAAGGGTTTGGTTTTTTGCTCTGGCTGTTTTTGGTTTTTGCTGTTTCATTTTAGGAAACACTGTTTGCCACTTTTCAGAACTGACATGCATGTCAGTTATCTCTAATGTTTCAGTTTTCTGTAACTATTATAATGAACCTATATTACACTTGCTGAGCTAGATGGGTGATTAATTTATCCTGTTGCCTCACTTGTGGCTATGCTGTGATCCCCAAAAACCTCTTGAAAGAGTGCGGGACAAAAGTCATGTGTGAGGGCCGGGGATTTAGCCCAGTGGCGCCGCCTCCTGCCTTCCAAGCACAAGGTACCGAGTTTGATCTCCAGTACAAAAAAAAGTCATGTGTGAATCTATAAGATAATTAAGATTCCCCAATATGCTTCTCAGGTATTAGGAGATGACAGTAATTTTAGCCTGCGTTGTTTCTATCACTGCCAACTGTTAGTTGTTTACATAATGGCTGGAACTGCTTACCAACAGTAAGCAGATAAATACTATATAGTGAAATTAATGACCATCAATGAGATGCTAGTTTGACTTCCAGCTCTAGTGAGGATTTCATTTTATTCCTGAGGTTTGCATTGTTTTAATTGTAGAAAATCTGTAATGTTGCCCAGGCTAAGAAGGCCCTGTGAGCAAGCTAAAACCTCCCAGTGAGAGGACCTGTCATGTCCCAGCAGCCTTGAGTGGCAAGGGGCTGCATCCTTGCCTGTCAGAGGCTGAAGCCACTACCATCAACTTGTATGCCACTTCCCCAGCCAGAGCTGGCCTGTTCTTGACCATATGGGAAGGACAGAGAGCTATGGGCACCAGAAAGTAGGCAGCCAGGATGCAGGTCCAATCATGGAGGCCCCTGAGACAGCCCAATGGAGCAGGGAGTCTGGCGGTTCTCAAGGACCAGGTCACTGCTGTCATTGTCACTGTCGGGCTCAATAGCCCCAGGTCCTGGAGAGGGAGGCACTGTCAGAGGCCTAGACGTACCTTGTACTACATTATTACACCATCATGTCCATCATTTGGTCCAAAGTCTTCCCAGCAACCTCAATACTATTGACCTCAAGGATGTCATCACTGACTGCCAGCAGCTCTGTACTCTCAGCCAGGGCCCCATATACCAGGTGGGATATGAAGATGCCCGGAACCTGCTCTAGGCCCTCGGGAGTGCTCGCTTCAGTATCACATATACTAAAATAGGCCCTGGGGAGCCACATGGATGCTCATACCATCTCAGATGTAGAAGCCCAGGAGCAGTCTGAACCATGCTTATGCAGCTGCACCCATCAGTGGGTCCCTGAAGTTTGCATTTTTAGGAGAGCTGATTTTAAAATATGTTTTGAATGCTTAGAAAAACATGGAGTGTGGATTTCTTTAGCATAGGAAACTGGATTGTAGTAAATACATTGTATATTTTAATTAACATATGAACTTTTTAAAGTAACAAGGACACGCTATTAAGAAACGGCCTATCCCATTCAATATCAGTTATGTTGTTTTGATGTTCTTTTGAAATATTAGCACTAAAATATTTTGCCAACATGACATTATTCTTTCAGGTTTCGCACGGAATCTGTCAGAGGGCAATAATGCTAATTATACAGAATATGTGGCCACCAGGTGGTATCGATCCCCAGAACTTTTACTTGGGTGAGTTACTGTCTCAAAATAGAATGAACTGGAAAAAAAAAAAAAGAATGAACTCTATACATCTACTGATTCTTTATCATTGGGTTTGGGTTCACTGATAGAAAATAAGAACATCAATTAAATATGTCAGTTATATATTCAGTATAACAACCACCTACAAATGAAATGATGGGAAACAAGCACCACTTAATTGTTGAGGATTCTAAGTGTCAGTAATTGCATTCAGCTTGATAGTTCTTCTGTTGGTCTATCTTGGAGTTGCTTATGTAGCTAGTCTGCTGCAAGGTCATGTGGAAGCTGATCCCTAGGGACTCATCTTTCAGTAGGCTGGTCCTACTGTTTCTAAGTGTGATAGTGGGAAAATTCAGCAAGAGCATAATCCCCAAAGGAAAGGTGCTTTCCAAGTGTGAAACAGCATGGCTTTTGCCTCTGGCTGAAGTATATTTTATAGCCAAGAGAAATAAATCCCATCTCTTGATGGGAGAAGTAACACAGTGCCTCATTACAAAAGTGACATGCATACACAAATGGCAGAAATTTTTGCAGCCATCTTTGCTAATACTCTTCCAAATTAAGAATGTGAGTATTTTCAGAGTTTGACAGTCTGGCTTATCTATTCATTCACTCATTTATTCAAATACTTACCAAATGTTTATCAGGTATTTCTTACATCCAGCCACTTTGCTTGACACATGGGGTAAATATGGAACCAATTGCCATTTTTCCTCTGAACAGTGTAAATCCTGTTTGATAATAAATGTCTATTCTATTTAGCACTGCATTGATATTCTTTTCAACAACATCTCCACATCCATCCACTTTGTGCAGCCTTATACTTTCAGCACTCTGTCATTGATCTGTTAACCCCAAGAAGGGTTTTCTGATAAGGTTTTTTTTCTTTCTAATGCATTTTAACTCTAGAGCTTAAGAAGGAGCTTATAGCTCTGATTTCCATCTTTCATGGCTAATTCTCTACCTGCCCTAGTTGTAGTATTTTCTTTTCTTTTAAAGACATTTTATTTATATCATTCACAGATAAGGAAATAGAGACTTAGGAAAGGAAAGTAACTTGCCTGAAATCACACAGCAAAAAAAGAGACCAAATAGGATGATAGACCCCCTGATTGGTCAAATGTGTGTGGTCAGGTTACTCACTCTTTTTTTTTTCTTTCCTTTCTTTTCCTTTTCTTTCCTTTCCTTTCCCTTTCTCTCTCTCTCTCTCTCTCTCTCTCTCTCTCTCTCTCTCTCTCTCTCTCTGTCTCTCTCTGTCTCTGTCTCTCTCTCTCTTTCTTTTCTTTTCTTCCTTCCTTTGTAGTACTGGAGATTGAACCTAGAGAGGGCCTTCACATTCAGATACATTCCCAGCCCGATTTAAATATATTTATTTTAAGACAGGGTCTCACCAAATCACTCAGGGCTCAGATTTATAATCCCCTTGCCTCTGCCTCTCAGAGTGCTGGGATTATAGGTGTGCAGCACCACACCTGGCTGTAGTATTTTCTCTAGATTGTGTTTCCTTCTTTAAGACTATCCAAGAATGGAGAAAGAAGGTACATCTACAAATAAAATTAGTCATAGTGGTATGCCTTGACAAGTATATACCTTGTAGGTTTCATTTCTTTTCTTTGTGTGCCATACATGTATGCGGGAGATGTGAGAAATTTAATTGTTAAAAGATACTGTTTATATATAATAGCAATATAAATTTGTGGGTCTCTTCTGAAGAGCATGATGACTGTATATGTTTAAGTTACTCAGTGAGGGTTTATATGAATGTGTCTACCAACTATCTGGTGATAATTCTTGGTTCATTTCTGGCCTAGAGCCCATAAAAATTATGGGCATCAATTTTTGAAAGCTTTGTTATTTTTTAAAATAAAAAGCTTGCTTTATTTTGAGAAACAAATGATGGCTAACCCTTCACTTATGTGAACAGAGTTTTGGCTTTCTAATCTTAGATTTAGAATTGATTTTGTGTCCATTTGTGTTACTTATTCTGTATACTTTTCTGCATTCATGGGATATATAGTCTCTTTTTGCGGGGGGGAGACTTAGAACTCAAATTTACGGAACACTATTTGCCAATGAAGAATGAGGATGAACTAAATCATTCTTAAAACTGCATCCAAGGACTCAAGTATGGTAGAAGGACTCATTATAATATGGTTTTGTCTATAAGATAGCCTCAAAGAGTACATTCTGAGGACAGCCTTATTGTGAATCTTCAGAGAGTATTTGCTGCCTAATAATACCTATTGAAAGACTGAGATTATGTTTAGAGATGTGTGGTAGCTGCCAAAAGTAAATGGGAGCAAAAAACTAATTTGAGCTAAATTGAATATTGCTAATTGAGTGATTGTCAAGTACTAGTTGAAGAACCATATTATTTGTATAAAAATTCCATTAAAATCAGTTGATATTTGGTTTTATGTTAAGAATTTGCATTTTTATACATTCTCAGGGTTATCCTTGACATTCAAAATAGTTCCAGCTGCATAAATTATTCAAATCAGATGGTAGAAGAAAAATAGCTTGTTGTGGGGATGTGGACATTTTCCATAGGTTTCTCCACCTAGTACCATGGAACATGTTTTCTTTCTCTCAGATATGAAAGAAAGATAGTAGCCTTCCTTCCCTAGCAAGGTCCCAAAATATCTAAATGAAGTTTCTGCATATGATTTTTAGGTTTTTGTGGGAAGGAAATGAGATAAATGAAATGACATATTGTTACAGTGAGAGATTAATAAAATATTGACATATAGTTACAGTGATTTATTATACTAGAAACATATTCTGTATAATGTCAATAGTGGTTTAGTTTGAAAGTTTTCTATTACTATTATATCATTATGCCATTCTAGAATTTCATGCCATATTCTTTTTCACATATTTTATTGTGGCTTTCTCTTCTCAAAGCTTGGATGCTTTCTTAATCTACCATAGTTTGATTTAAGGCTGTAGATACTGGGGTATAGATCTAACAATGTTTTGGGGATACCTAGATTTTCATGATGGCCTCCATTTGTAACAGCATCTCTCTTTTTAAAGCCCTCTGATAAACTCAGATTCTACAAGTGAGCTATAAACTCCTAAGTAAACTAAAAAAATGTTTGAGGGAAATAGTTATCAGAGCCGTGTGTGTGTAGAATACAATTATGTTCAAGTAAATAATATAATAGAGCTTAGCACTGTCTTAGCTATTGGAAACTGTGATGCTAAGTAATTAAAGGTTAAATAATATTCAGTATTTTTTTAAGGAGACATGTAAGTCAGTAGTACATTTTAATAGGCTGAGCTAAAAAAATTGATAAAATGTTACTTTTCTGACATGTAGAGAGCTAAAATACAATTACTTAGAAAATGTATTTCTTAGGAGCATTTCATTCCCCAAGTAAAGTGTTATTAATCAGACATGTACACTATATTAGGGTTTATTAGGCAATTCATGTTGAAGTTATACTCAGATTTCAAACTTGTGTATACTAAATAAAAATTGTTATTAAACCAATATCTTTATTAGTGTAGATTTATTCAGTTGTGTTCTGAATTTTTACTTGGATGTCCATGTTTCCTTATTTTCAGTCTCATTTTTTTCCAGTGGTATTTTTAAAATTCCTTAAATACATAAATATGCTTCAAAACATGAATCTCTTCAGAATAATTTGGAAATTATTAAGACCTTGTATTTCTTCACTTGCCAAGATAATCTCTCCCTTTGCTTTTCAGAGCTCCCTATGGGAAGTCTGTAGACATGTGGTCAGTGGGCTGTATTCTTGGGGAGCTTAGTGATGGACAGCCCTTATTTCCTGGAGAAAGCGAAATTGACCAACTTTTTACTATTCAGAAGGTGCTAGGACCACTTCCATCTGAGCAGATGAAGCTCTTCTACAGTAATCCTCGGTTCCACGGCCTCCGGGTAAGAGGCTTTGCTAAACTGAAAATGAAATCAATATGGCAGTATTTAACTCATTATCCATTGCACAATGGGATGCTAAGCTAGCCTTTGAATATTGTTCCTTTTCTCATTAAAATGTTTCTTAATCCCCACTATAATATTTTATTCCTGAGTCTTATATAGTATTTATGAATTTAAAAAGCAGCCAGAATTCGAAAGTGGGAGCTGCTAATTTGTAAATGCTAATTTTTCAAAATCTCTTTTAGCATATACATTATTATATTCTAACCTTGATTATCTTAGACTCCTTATGTATCTACAACATTAAGCATCCCCCAAAGATACAAAATGTATGAATGACTGCTGTTGAGCAAGCACATTTGTAGTGATTTGAAAAAGACCATAAATACTTGTATTATGCAAACTTAAAAGGTTCTCATTCTAGCAATTTCTTGTCTGTTAACAGTGAAACATCAAATTCACTTTTCAAACCACCATATTGTCTTTCCTGAACTTGTTTACTTTGTATAAAGCATGTTTTCTGAGAATATGCTAGAAAGCATCTTAGAAAGTATAAACTTCCCTCAAATGAGAAATATTTAACTTACAGAGGCAATTCAGTATAGTGTCCAGTGAGTTATAGGCTGCTTCTCTCATCCATTTACTCCAAATATGGCTCTTTAAAAGTTGTCAAACACTCTTTTGGGCCAACATGTCACTTGGTGGTCATTATGGGGACTACAAAATAATCTTGGCATCACTTCCTTTCTTTCTCTTAAATGCATAATTCTCAAACCATGTTTTCCTGCCATTGGCAAAACACTTTGCTTTTTTCTTTGACCCCTTGGACCTCAGTTAATTTTCCTTTGGAGGATACCAGTGTCCACACATGAGTGCCCAATACAGACAGCCCCAGCTCCTACTGGGCTTAATGGATATATAGGAAATGAATTGATCCAAGATGCAGTTTCTCTACCATCTTCTTTCTCTCTTTCCAAAATACCTGAGTTATCTCAGGCAGATTTTTCTTTTATTTTTGCTTTTGTAAGCCAAAAATTGGCCAAATTTGCAGCATTAATTAGGGTACAAATACTACCCTTGTATTGGTTGAATAGGTTAGTTCAACAGTTATTGAACATTTGTCATAGTAGATGCAGAAAATATGACAATAAATAGGGCTTGCCCTCAATCTAGGAGAAAGTCTGTTATTCACAAATAAAGTAGGTCATAATTACTGAATTTCTTTCACTGAGAATCAGTCTATATTCTTTGAGTATATCCTGTGAGATCTTATCTAATCCAGGCTCCCTGGCTCCCTGACCTTGCCCTCATACTTATCTCCATTCCCCTCCCTGTCCAAATTCTCACCACTCTTGCCTGTTCCTTGGCTTTCATAAACATTGTAAGGCTTTTCAAGCTTTATATGTTTAGGCTGTGGCTTCTTCTCTAGGAAAGGTTCCTCCCAGGCATGGTCCCTCCTCATTTTGTAAATCTCAACTGAAAGAACGCCTCCTCCCTCTGGCCACCCACCGTACAGTCTCCCCCAGCCCTCCTTCCAGTCCCCTCATAGCACTGTTCTTTTATGTCCATCATACCACTTACCATAGTATGGAATTATTTCATCAATTTATTTACTTGTTAATTATCAGTGTCTAGCTATACCCCACTAGCATGTAAGTTCCCGGAGGGCAGACATTGTCTGTGTTAATGCTGTACTTGAAGCATTGAATACAGAAACACATCTGCTGTGTTCTCACCAAATAGCTGAGTGATTCATCAAGTCTGTGACATCAACACTCAAACTGAGCTTTATTTCCATTCTCTCCGTCTCAAATCCTCTCACTCTTGCTACCTTTACCAAAACTATAGACATTTGCTCTCAAACTGATCTCTTGAAGAGTGTCTGTCTCCCCTTAAGGTTAAGTCTTTTCTCCAGCAATGCATTTAATTCTATCTCCTTTTTGTTTCACAACTTCTATGGGAGTGCTGATAAAGTTTAAGCACCTGAGGGTAGCATTAAAGACCCCTTGCTCTTAGCCCTCCAGCCTGGTCTCTCCCCTGTCCCACCCCCATCCCTTTTTCTTAGGCCACCTTGCCCTTCCCATCATTTTCTTGACCTGTGGCACTTGTAGTGCTTCATTTCCATTTCTGTGGTGCTCCCAATCTTCTCTTTCCATGAAGCCCTTCTAGACTATCCTAGGCTCAGTAGGTGACTCCTTCTGAGCTCCCACAGCACTCTAGTCACTTTTTTTTTGTAGCACCCATTGCATTCTCTTTTAAGTTACTGGTTGCAAGTATGTATCCTCTCTGGATTAATTAATTTCTCAAGGAAATGAACTATTCTGTTTACCATTATGTTTGTAGCACTCTTAGAATAGTGCCTACTAGGTTGAGTAGCATTGAATAGTTCATCTCAACTGCTAGAACTTAGGTAAGGTTGGTCTACTGGCTGACTTCTTGGTCTGGTTAAAGCAGCTCTACGATGGATTCTCTGAAGAGAGTATAAGCAGATCTGACATGTACCTGGGCTTTATAACTTCCAAACTAGCTGCAGAATTTAGACTTTCATACTGAAATAATTAGAACAGTACAATTTATAGGAAATCATACAATAAAGTACTGCACTATTTACTTATTTGTACTGCTTTCTAATAGATCTCATTATTGTTTAGAATGACTGTGACCATGTCAAGCATTCTAGAAAGGTAGAAATCATAGTTGAGGGTGCATTAGAAAGGGTTTATGGGGGATTTGAAATTTAAAATGGATATTGAAGGGCAAATAGCATTTAGATTGTAGAGGCCGCACGGGGGCTATCTTTTCTTCATTTGTCTGTGGTCCTATTTGTTCACAGACCTCTCCATTAAACAGTATTGTTTGCCAAATGCTAGGCAGCCTATGATAGTGCCAACTATAAATGTTCTTCAGGGAAATTGTTACTTCCATGACACTTTGATTTTTGTAAACTTTTATGTCTTAACATTTATATGTTAACATTTTAGTCTGAAAGTGTTTGTGTTGTTTTAACTAAGTTAATTCAGTGTCTTTAGAGATTTAACAACATCTTGCAAGATAAAATTTTTTCTTTATGCTATCACTTGAAAATGTCTTCAACAGATAATAAGTAAGCACACAGGGCCTGTGAGCTGCATTTGCTGTGAGCCATGTACTCACCAGGAACTAATCCAGTATGATCTGCATTTGGTTCCACTTATGTAGAGACTGAAAAATCCCTTATATGTTGCTCTAATTATATGCATTATTTGGAAAACAAAGACTGGTAGACTTCAAAGCCTAGCTCCATATTTACTGCTTGAATGGCCTCAAAAAATTATTTTACCATCTGTACCTCTGTTTCTTGTGTGTAAAATGGTGATGGCAGAGGTATCACCTAATGAGGTTGTTGTGAAAATGAAATGTTTGTATATAAAATGCTAAGAGCAGTGCTTAGTAAAGAGATGCTCTTATTTTATTATATTGACCAAGTGATTAGGAAAGGAAACAAACTACTGACTGGGCTATGACCTAAACTTTTGTGCTTGTTTTAACTATTTGTTGAATTATCTGATGTTAGAATAGTAAGAGTTCATTCAGAAGCATATAAAGTAAATTTTTAAGTTAGGAGTTTGGTTGGTCATTTTATTCTAATATTTCTAATACCTTTTGACTTTGAAAATTAATTTTCTTATTAGTGAAATGTTATTTCTGGGAAAATAAAAGGGAATGGTATCTGGTATCATAAGATAGAACTCAGAAGCAAAATGTTAATTAAAATGTACTGGGGTAGGGTCTTTTATCATGGCATGACAGGTTTCTTTCTTTGGGCTGATATTTAGTGCTCCAGCAGCATCAAAAGGAACTTCTGTACTTCCCTTAGGAGAAGTGCCTCAGTTTAGAAACTAGAGTGTGGGTTTACATCACAGGCCTGGGTGCAAATACTAGTTCTACTGCTTGTTAATTATGTAACTTTGCTTTAATCAGTTACTTGAGCTTTCTGATACAATTTTCTATATTTCTAAAGTAAGGGGTAGTAATACCTAAAATGCCTGACATAGGATTGCTTCCCTAAGAAATCAGTTTTAGCTTTTTGCCTGTGCATCTGTGTTATACTCACATTGGCCCTTCTTCCTCTGTCTGGAAGGTACTGTCCTACTTTTCCCCATCTTCATATTTTTCTTATCTTTTAAAACTTAATTCAAATATTACCTACCAGTTCGTTCTTCTATAGCCACAAACTGTCTTTGTCTCCTTTCTCTGAGCTTCCATCAGAATGTACAGATCCACAGTTTGGCACTGATTGCTTTCCCAACCAGACAATGGATTCCTCAGGTGCAAGGCTTAGTTCCTACCCATATTCTGTATCTCCTGCCCTACCAAGCACAGTGTACAGATGCTGTCATAATTACTCCCTAAATACCTACATCATTAGTCCTCCTGTCTACTTATTTAGCATATTTAAGGATTTCAGTACTTTGAAATGCTCTTCTGTTGATGTAGAGGAAATGTATATTAGAAGGAAACTAGCCCTCACATTTGACATTGGGCTCTGCCAGTCATATTACCCAGTGCTTCAACCTCCACTCAAGTATGACCAAGTGTGAGTTGGCAGAGGAAAGAATAGAACATTTAAACAACCTTGACCCTTTCCCTCATCTTTTTAAAAAATGTTCTTGTTAAGCTGCAAAAGCAAATTTTAAAAATCAACTCAAAAAGGAAAGATTTGAAAACAGGTCATTAAAAGTATTAAAAGCAGTAATACAAGGCTAGTACAGTGGCACATACTTGTAATCCCAGGACTTTGGAGGCAGAGGCAGAAGGTTTGCAAGTTCAAGGCTAGCTCCATAGCAAGTTCCAGGCTAAGTTGTACTACATAGTGAGACACTATCTCAAAAATGAATGAATGAGGGCTGGGGATTTAGCTCAGTGGTTCCGCCACCTGCCCTGCAAGCACAAGGACCTGAGTTCGATTCCCGGTACAAAAAAAAAGAAAAAAAATAAATGAATGAATGGGTCCGGGGATTTGGCTCAGTGGTTCCAGTGCCTGCCGTGCAAGCGCAAGGTCCTGAGTTCGATCCCCGGTACTGGAAAAAAAAAAAAGAATGAATGAAATAATGCAGCCAGTATCAGAATTCACTTAGTTCTACTTCTGTGGTCTTACAGGTTCTGGCCTCGTGCTGCATTTTTCTCCTTTCTTCTTTATTTGGAGGAGTAAATGATATGTTGCTGTGAAAGAACCATAAAAATCTTGCATGATATTATATCATGTTCCTTGTGTTAGGCCCCCAGTTACCATTGGTAATTAAGAATTGTCTGAAAAAAAAAAAAGAAGTGTCTGTATAAGCAGACATTCTATATAAACTGTTTTGGAACTAAACTGTCTAAGAAGACAATACCCTATATCCTGTATAAATAGAGTTTCTGATTTTTATATTTTATTTTACATTCCTTAGTATTATATGCCTAGATTTAAGTATCATAGTTCATCAGAGTTTTTGTTATTTAATATCCAGTCCTATTAATTCATACCTATAATACATAGATTTAAAAAGTAATATACAAATATGCATTTGACTTAGATTGGCACTAGGACATTAACTTTTGCTCAGTTGCTCCCTTCTGCATCTCTCATAGGCCTGTGCACATAGATTTTTCTGTCTTAGTTTTCTCGTTGCGGAGACAAAATACCTGACACCCAAAAGTTAAAGAAGGAAAGGTTTATTTCAGTTCACAGTTGTAGATATCTAAGTCCATAGTCGGCTGGCTCCAAGGCAGAGTGGCCTAGAAGAGGAGAAACAGTCCATGACAAAGCAGGCAGGAGACAGTGAAGCATCAAGCAGCAGCAGCAAGGCTGCCTTCTTTCTTTCCCTTTATGTCCCATCCAGGCTACAAGCCCACCCATACCCAGAATGGAGCCCTTAATCCCAGTATCATGCCCTTAGTTCACATTCACACACCCTAATCCAGCTACCTTGGAAACTCCCATCTATGACTGCGTGAGGCTTTGGGGGAACATCTAGATACAAGCCACAACACCTTCCCCAAATGCTGACATTCCAATTGTATTGTCCTTACAGTTTCCAGCTGTTAACCATCCTCAGTCATTGGAGAGAAGATACCTTGGAATTTTAAATAGTGTTTTACTTGACCTGATGAAGGTAGGAGAAGTTGATGTCTGTATGACAAATAGCCTTTGGTTTATGGATTTTTTTTTTTGTATCTATGTGTGACCATTACCTGCTTTCATGAATTAAATATTATGCTAGTAGATGCATAATGGTAATAATGGGGAACTGTGTTTATGAATTAAATATTTTGTTAGTAGACACATAATGGTGAATATGGCAAATTATGTCATGTTAAGACGTATGTAACATTTAAAATTACAAACAGAATCTGGTAGTGTCATAGTTCATCTAGACAGGGGTATGAGATCTCTACTTTCCTAAAATGGGCAGGATAATAAAAATCTGTTAACACTCAAGAGGAGCTTGGGCACAGGTTATAAAATAAATCTTGAATGTTGAAGGGAAAAAGATTCAACAATTTTTGTATATTTAAGAGCTCTCATAGGCTATATAGAATTAATCAGTGAATGTAATTTTTCTCTTTGTGACTTGACCTTTCTCAGACTGTTCTTTCTGGCTCTTCAGACATGTCAGAATCACTTCTACTACTGAGGCTTGAGTGTTCCTCCTCATGCTAGCCCCCTAGTCCAGAAGAGTTCTTGCTCTGGACTACTGAAAATACCCTCAAATTTCTTTATTCAAGTTTTTCTTCCCTAGTAGACAGTCAACACCTTGAGTGAGCACTATTTTTCCTATTACCCTAGTTTTCATTGCAGCCATTAAGTGCATAAGCAAATGTTGGTGGTTTGAAGTAGACTTTCAAAAATCACTTGTTAATAGATCACTTTTGTTTTATGTCCATCCAGTCAACAGTGAAAATCAGTAGAGGCTACACTGTGCACAGAACCTTTAAAAGACATACTTAGCACGGTTGGAAATGCTGAGCCGCATTCTTAGAACTTTGCTGTGCTTTAAGCTCTATTAATCTCTGTCCCACGGAAGTAAGTGTAAATAGGTGTGGGGGTGGAGGTGGGGGCAGGGGAGGTGGCATTTTGGAAGAGCCACATACTGTATAACCCTTTGTAGAGATTCGTAATATTCATTAACCTAAAAAGCTTTCAGAAATCTCACAGTAAAGAAGCTGTTCTGTCTCAACATTTCCCAAATTTAATTAAATATTGAATATGTTTTTTTTTATAAAACTCTTAAAGCACTAATGTTCTGAGTACAGATTTAAAAATGTAATTTTAGAAAAAGGAACGCTCAAAACTCAGCTTCTTTAATTAGGCATAAATTTTCACTTAAATCAGTTGGATTTATCAATATATTCTTTCATGCAGTCTATACTTAATGATCAGATTCTTAATTATTTGGTAACTTAAAATTAAATAAAGTAGGAAAATGAAATTAAGTATAATTTCATGTTTTCTGCCTTTTATCTTTTTTTAGTTAAAAATAACTAAACTTTTATGTTAGATCATTACCAAATATAATTACCAGTCAGTGTGGTACCTGAATAAAAATGAATACTGATTAAAAGATAGCACAGATAAAATCAGAACAGTATCCTGAATCTTTGGGTACTTGTACTAGTTTGGATGTTAAACTTTCTAAGTTATGTTTATTTAATAATGTTTACTATCAGAGTTCTTTAACAGTAAGCAAATATTTTTATTGCAGTGTAGATTCAGAAGGTGCTCAAATTATATCTATATCTCAGTTAATTTTTATAATGTAAACATACTCTTCTAACCTTACCTAGGTTGGAATATAGAAAATTATTACCCAGAAACCTCCTTATTATACTGCCTAGGCTTTCCACCCCTGTCCTGCTGTGCCCACAGAAACCATACTTTCTGACTTCTCTCACCAGCAATGAGCACTGCCTTCTTACTGAATCCTATGTAAATGCATTGTTCCTTTTTCTTTTGTTTGCTTTTGAAAATGAATTTGAAAATGGAAAAGCATCAGTTTTCTTTTCATGAAGAAATATTCTCATTTCCATTCCCTTAAGCTGTCTTGATAATTTTGTTCATACACCTAAAATGGCCATCACATCCTGTGTTTGTTCCTATTAGCCATTTTAGTGGGGATACGAGTTGCCAGAATTCAAGCTCTTATAATTTTAAGATGAACTACAATAATAATATTAACTCTATTTTAGTAAAAAAAAAAAATGACGATGACGGTGATAATACTGTATTTCCCCAAAGTGCCAAACTGTAGAAACTATTAACTGGGGGTAAATTTCATACTTTCCTCATAAAGACTTCATCCTTTCAAGTCGTTTGAAAATTAATACCTATATTTATAAATATACCTGTAGTTTTTTGTAGTACAGTAATTTCTACTTACTATCAAATAAATTAAAATAGCACTAATACTAGCAGATATTTGGATTCTGAAGGGTCATAGGTACTTCAAATTTAGACTAATCAAGGGCCAACTTTCCTTTGTCTTAATAATTGAAACAATTTTGATGTAATCTGTTTTAAGTTGCCAGTGAGAACAAGATCATTTTACATACCCCCACAATTTTTGTTCTATAATAAAGAAGAAAAATGAATTGAGATAATTTCATAGTTGTGTCTGAATTAATGTGAATGTAAATCCACTTGCGTGTAATCGGAAACTTAAGTTCCAATAACCAGAATCTTTTGACCAAAAGTGAGTATTTCATTATATGGTAGGATCAGAATTCAAATTTCCTGTGGTGCTTGATTGAAAATGGTTGTCTGAAATTGAAGCCTGGCTTGTTGGGATCAAATTTGCTTTCACTATTTAACAGTGGGCCACAAAGAAGTTAACTGTGGGCAAAACTAATGAAAGCAAACTAGAGATGAATTTGTGAATGCTGGAATTTCATCCTTCTTCCTTCCTGTGAGAGACAGCAGTAGCCACTCAGAACAAATTTCATTATGCTCTATGTGTGTTGAGTTAGGCTGTGTAGGTTGTATTTCTTTAGATAATTTGCTGGATTTTTTTTTTTCCTTTGGGGAATGGGGATTGAACCCAGGGCCTTTGCACTAAGCTATGTTCCCAACCCTTTTTTTTAAAAAAAATTTTGATACAGGACTTCAGCGAGTCCCTGAGTTGCCCAGGCTAGGTACAAACTTGGCATCCTTCTACCTCAGCCTCCTAGAGTGCTGGGATTACAGGCATACACCATCATGCCTGGCTAGATATTTGCTTAATTTGTAAATAAAAATTAGTCCTAATAATAATGATTCACTACAAAAATCTTGTCCAGTTACTAAGGTACATAATATTGGAAGAAAACATTTTAGTTATAAAGAATGTGGTATGTGCAACATAAACAAAAAGGATTAGGTTCCTTAGTGAGCAAAGAACACTTACAAATAGAAAACAATAGATGCATAAATAGAAAAATAAAACACATATGTAACTAATAAATGTAAAAGTATTCAACCTCACTAGCAGTCAAATGCAAAAAAAGAATGAGAATGCTTATTGTTGATGAGGATGCTGAGAAATTGGCATATTCATACAATTGCTAAGAGGTGTATAATTCGAAACAACCTTTCTAGGGGGTAATTTGTGGTAATTTGCCAATACACAGAAAAGAATCCTTAAGAGTTTGCATACCTAAAAGTTCCATCTTTAGAAGTTTATCCTATGAAAGCTTTCAGGTGATTGTTACTGTACTGATTATAATAGTGAAAAGCGGCTGCTACCTAGATACAACCATAGGATGCTGGCTAAGTAAATCATTGTATATCCATACCACAAACTTTCATGCAGTCATTAAAAAACATGTTGTAAGGGCAGAAATGTAGCTCAGAACACTTGCCTGGCATGTGCAAATCCCTGGATTTGATCCCCAGCACCCCCCCCAATATAAATAAATATATATTATATATATATATAATTTGTTGCCATGTTGTTCATAATAATAAAATAAAGGGCCAACCCTGAATGTCATTCAGGCATTGCTAAACACTGACTGAAGTACATCCATAAAGTCGAAGCTCTTTACTGATATGGAACGGTCTCCTAAGTCGCTGTATGAAATGGAAAGGAAGCTGAATGCAGATAGCTGTGTATGTATGCTGCTATTTAGGTTAAAAAAATGAGGGGATAGAGATAGGTACAAAATATATCTATGGAAGATTGCACAGGAGACTGGTGACCTGGGCTGCCTCTACAGGGGAACTGGTATCTGAGGGACAGGAGAAAAAGAATGTGAATATATACTTAAAGTTTTTTTATGTTTAAACTATGTTATAAAAAATGTTTTTGATTAGTAAGTGAAAAGTATGGTATATAAAACGTGTGTGTATAATGTGGCCCAGCTTTGATAAAAGAAAAAATATATATACAATACTCAAAAAAGGGCTGGGAAGATATCTACCAAGAGGATAATAATGGTGGTGATTATGGGTGATTTAGATAGACTTTTTTTTTTCTGAACTGTACTGGCTAGATATTCTGCAGTGATTATGTATTTGTTGTTAAAGAAAAATTAAGGTTTTTATTAGAATTTAAACTTGAGTTTGTAATGTCCTCTCCCATCCTAAACTTTATTTCCAAAGAATTTACTGAAGTTGGACCCAGCCGACAGATACTTGACAGAACAATGTTTGAATCACCCTACTTTTCAAACCCAGAGACTTTTGGATCGATCCCCTTCAAGGTCAGCAAAAAGGAAACCTTATCATGTGGAAAGCAGCACGTTGTCTAATAGGTAAATATTCCCTTTTAAGGAAATACAGATACAGTGTTGGTCTTACAAGTAGGTGGAGGAGGTGGCTGCTAAAATTATGCAATTAGAGAAAAGAAGGAAAGCCCTCTTTATTCAAAAATATCTTCTTATGCTTATTACATGATTCAGAACTATAATTAAAGAGTTGTGTGGGTCTTAAAGACTTTCTTATCTTTAACAAGTGTATCATGGAAACCTATGTTGGCCCTGGGAAAGATAGCATTGAGTTAGCACCTCAGGAGGTTTCCAGCCTTAACAGCCAGAAGGTTCTGTGTAAATGGCACCCAGGGATGATGCTGTAGATGGGGGCAAGAAGATTCCTGGAGGAAGAAGAGGATGCCAGATATATGAGTAGGAATGGACTCTTTGTGATTGAACCAAGTAGACTGGCTCTTTTCAAAGGATCTTGTGTTTTTGTTGTTGTTCTTATCTTAATTGTTGAGTTGAGAAATAAATTTTTCATACAAATAAGCATATAGAGTAAAATCAGTGATGTTATGTGGTGTTTTTTAAAACAGCCTTAAAAAAAACTTGTTTTCTGAAACATACACAGAAACGCATGCATGCATGCACGCGCACCCCCCAAGATTGGACTGGCCAGGTTGTCTTTGCAACCAGACATTCCTCAATTCTGCTGGCTGCTTTTGCAGGAAGACAGTGTCCTGGGCACAGTCTCCCTTATCTTCCTTCATCTCCCAGAAGCTGGTCTCAACCTCTGGCATTATTAAATTCTGAGGTAGAAATAGTTTCTGTCATCTACTTTTAGAAGAGAAATAGGAAACAATAATTCTTACTATGAAGCTTTTAAAATTTAACCCTCCCCCATTTTTTCCTCTATATAGAACAACTGGTTTTCTGTTTTGCTTTGTTTTGTTTTTTTATTCTCTTTTTGCAGTACTAGGGATTGAACATTTGAACACGGGGGTGCTCTACCACTGAGCTGTATTCCAGCCTATTTTATTTTATTTTACTTGGCGATAAGAGTCTTGCTGTGTTGCCCAGGCTGGCCTCAAACTCATGATCCTCCTACCTTGGCCTCCTGAGCAGCTGGGATTACAGGTGTGCACCACCTAACCTGGCTGTACAGATGTTCTTAATAGGTTGGAAGTTTGAAAGCTCAAGACCTGGTACTTTTTAGGTCTGAGAGGACATACATAAACTGGTGATAACCCTCTCTTTGTTTTGCTTAGCAGTAGTGTGATTGTGTTTCAGACCTGCTTACTCTTCTTTAAAATGATGGTTTCACTTATTGTTTCCCCTCATATCTTATAGACCATTCTTAGCTGGTTTATTTGTTTGTTTCCATGAGAGTTTAGTACACTAGGTCAAGAAATAGTGGTCATCATTTGGTTGATCCTTTGCATTTTGTGAGTTTACATTACTCCCGTGTCTTCTCTGAGGTTGCTCTCTATTCAGGTCCTTTTGTCTCCCTTCTGCCTGAATTGTTGCTTGTCTTCTCAAGTTTAAATTTACATGCTCCTCTGCCTTGTCACTGGACACACACACACACACACACACACACACACACACACACTCAGTCACTCACATCCTTGTCTTCTAAATTATTTTCTCCACAGGAGGCAGTGGACTAAGGCATTCCTCGGCCCTTTGCCTGTCTCCTTCAGGCTTTGCTGAGGTTTCTTTCACCTCTGACATGGCATGATTGTGCGTCACACTGTCTCCCCATTCTCCTCCCTCCTTGGACTTGCTTCTTCCGCCTTCTAAAAAATGTAGCTTTTTGCCTTTATTGTTTGCTTTTAAAACTTATTTTAAGTAAATACGTTAGCTATTTCTCCATCCATTTATCCCGCCAGCCATTAAAGAGTAGTTTATCTGTCAACTCTTTCCCTTTAAGTGCTTGGCAGTTTAATACAGATTCTTTACAATCGTGTGTCAAAGAGAGCTATGGAATTTTCAAAGCTGTTTTTTTTTTCTTATTATTGTGCTTTGGCAGAGCTCCAATTTGAAGATAATATGATGTCCTTTTTACATGGGAATTATGATATATACAAAGCTCAGTGGCTTCCAATTAATCCTGAGGCAGAAACATTCAGAATAGTAGTTTAGGCTCTTTGTACATTTTATGGAAAACCTAAAGCGTTGACAGCTATTTCTGCCTTTATAGCCTCCACTTTATGTTAGAAATTGTATCTTCATTGCTGTGAATATGTCTAAGTTCCTGTGTAGGTTTGTGCTCAACACTGATAGCAGTGATTTTAACAGTTCTAGAAACTCTGGCAGCTCGGCCTCCGCTGTTCTCTGTCGTTTCTGTTCCTGTTTTAAGCTTGAGTTATTTCCCGATATCTGCATGTGTTATATCTCTCTGCCATTGCTATCTCTAGGCCTGAATGAAAAAGGGAAGAAATAGGTTCTGAGAGCCTGAGGCAGAGCTGGCTGGAGGAGCTGTCTTGTGGAAAGTGTCATCTGGAGGGATATGGCTAGGATCTGAATCAAGGTGCTGATGCCAAGAAGAAATAGGGAAGACCTCCCCCAGCCTCTTTCTCTTGTGTGGTACCTTCCCCAGCTAAGCCCTACTGGAAAGTAGCCAACTAGGGAACTTGGGGGTGCAGTCTACAGCATTGGGGTCCTGAGGCCAAGAACCAAGCAGAGGAGTGGAGAATGGAGAGTTGGGAAAATGGAGAATAACCAACATACTTAAATCTATTTATGCATGTTTTTTTGATGCTGTCAGATTTCTAGCAGAGATTATCATCTGAAAGATACAGTAGGAAAGGACCCTTTAATGCCTTAGCATGCAGGTTCTTAGAGAGAAAATGAGAAAGCATAGTTTTCATGGGCTTTTGAAGTTGCTGAGATATTTTAGTCACCAGCATGTAAGTTGACAAACAACTCCAATGGTTTAAAACCTGATGCCTGTAGGATACAAAGACTGTCCTTTTTTCTGGGAATAGATTCTGCTGATATCATTTACAGCCAATGAAACTTAGTTTTCCTTTCTTTGCATTTCTTTCTAGGTCTGAGATTTGACATTTGGTTAGCTCAAATTTAAGCATCTTTATTTAATGCTATGATTCTTGTAACCTAACTGGGAAAGATTAGTGAATGCATTTAGGAGATGAAGCCTTCCACACTGTTACAGAATGGCTGAACAGCAGATGTTTTTTGATGCTCTCAAGTAGATTTCTGGCAGATTATCATCTGAAAGGCACAATAGGAAAAGGGCCCTTATATTTGATGCTTTAGTATGCAGATTCTTACAGGGAAAATGAGAAGGCATAGTTTCACGGGTTACCATTCTGCATGAAAAAAACAGGGGGACTTTTCTTCCAGTTAGTGTGTTGGTGGAAACAAAACTCTCCAAAATCAAACCATCTTTAGCAATAGGAGTTTTTACAACAACATTTTATGAAGGGGTAGTAAAAAAGGAACTGTGTAAATCATTATTTCTTTTGAAATATTCTACCATTTGGTCCTTTAAATACTTAAAATAGAACAAACTGATTTTGCTGTGGTGTTGTAACTGGATCTCGGGTCCTTGCTCTGGGGCAATGGAAGATTCAGCAAACAGCAAGCAGTGTGAAGTGGCCAAATGTTTGTTTATTAGAAAGAATAAAAGAGAAGCTCTCTGCTAGCCAGAGAGGGATACTCTGTAAGGTGGACACCCTAGATATTTAGGTCTATTGGGTTTTTATACCGTGTATGTCACAGAAAGCAGGAATGCTTCTGGTTTTAGGTAGGCCTTTGTTGTCTGGAAAGCAAGCTGCTTCATTTGTATTTTATTCCTCCAAGGTCTCCCATTTTGTTAAGGACCTATTCTTTTGTCTCTTGCATTTTATTAGGCCCTGATAGTCTGTTTTGGTATGCTAATTTGTTTAGGCCCTGACTTTTAGTTTACTTTAAGTTAACTATTTAGGCCTGTGTGCTATCTGCCTAAATTCCCCTATCTCCTAGCTTTATTGTCAGTTTCAGCTTTCAGATAAAGGACAGGATTTTCCTCTGGATTTATAGTTTGCATTCCTCAGTCAGTTTGGAATAATGAAGTGTGAAATGAAGAAGAGACTAAATTGTGTGTTTTGGCGAGCAATTAACATTTTCAGGTCCCTGTGATCCAGTATAGATTCCTGTTTATTGTACAAGGAGACATCTGAAGAACCCCCAAGTAATTGCCACTTCTCCAAAACATGAACATTAATCATCATGTTTTCAGTAAGCCTCAATGGGCAGTTGACGTTTCTTTTTAGTGTCATTTTCTTTTAATGAGTGCATTGCTAGAATTCCTAGTCTTTTGCTATACAGGCTAGACAAAAGAGACCTTGATTGGTGTCTGTATGTATGGCTATGAGTACATTATCTCTGAGGCAGGCTAGGAGTTTACAAACAAAAACAAAGTTCAAGGAACACAGTAACCTGTAAATCTAAAGTGTTGTCTTCAGACATTCAAGCAGATAAAAGAGTTGTTTTATAAAGAGTCTGTCTGTAGCTCAGCTCTCTTCTCCTTGGCAGATGTTCTATAACAAGCATTCATAGAAGTACCAACATAGCAAAAGCATGTTTTACCAGATTATCAGTTAGAAACTATTGGCAACAAGTTAGCTGAGCATGTGAGGATGCCAAAATAATTTCACTAGGACCAGTGCTTTGTGGTGGAGTGACTTAGTCTGATGAACTTGCTTCTTATTGATAGGTTATTTGTATTGGTTGGCATGTTTGAGAGTTCATGTTTTTAGTCAGGAGGTATTTTAAGTATGTTTTCTTTTTTCTTTTTTTTTTAACATGATACTTTGTACCTTCTATTGAGGAAACTTATATGGTTCTTTTGTTTTCAATGTAGAAACCAAGCCAGCAAAGGTGCTGCTTTACAAACTCACCATCGATCCAACAGCAAGGACATTCAGAATCTAAGCGTGGGTCTGCCCCGGGCTGATGAAGGCCTTCCTGCCAATGAAAGCTTTCTGAATGGTAACCTTGCTGGAGCTACTCTTAGTCCAGTTCACACCAAAACCTACCAAGCAAGCACCCAGCCTGGATCTTCCAGCAAAGATCTCACCAACAACAATATGCCACACCTTCTTAGTCCAAAAGAAGCCAAATCCAAAACAGAGTTTGACTTTAATATTGACCCGAAGCCCTCAGAAGGCCCAGGCACAAAGTACCTGAAGTCCAGCAGTAGATCTCAGCAGAACCGGCATTCGTTCATGGAAAGCTCTCAGAGCAAAGCTGGAACACTGCAGCCCAGTGAGAAGCAGAGTCGGCACAGCTATATCGACACCATTCCCCAGTCCTCCAGGAGTCCCTCCTACCGGACCAAGGCCAAAAGCCACGGGGCATTGAGTGACTCCAAGTCTGTGAGCAACCTTTCTGAAGCCAGGGCCCAAATTACAGAGACCAATACCAATAGGTACTTTCCATCCAGCTGCTTGGACTTGAACTCTCCCACCAGCCCAACGCCCACCAGGCACAGTGACTCGAGAACTTTGCTTAGCCCTTCAGGGAGAAATAACCGAAATGAGGGCACACTGGACTCACGCCGAACCACAACCAGGCATTCAAAAACCATGGAGGAATTGAAGCTGCCTGAGCACATGGACAACACCCATTCCCACTCACTGTCTACACCTCACGAATCCTTTTCTTATGGGCTGGGCTACACCAGCCCCTTCTCCTCTCAGCAGCGTCCTCACAGGCATTCCATGTATGTGACCCGGGACAAAGTGAGAGCCAAAGGCTTGGATGGAAGCCTGAGTATAGGGCAAGGGATGGCGGCCAGAGCCAACAGCCTGCAGCTCTTATCACCCCAGGTACAGGTTAGCACCTTGACCCTGTCTGGTGGCTCATTATGGGAAGGTAGTGCAGGGGGTGTTTTTATGTGGTCAGTCTGCAATTTTCCCTACAAGAGACCACACTTTCAATCAATTATTGACTACTCACAACCTCTCTAAAGTTTGTTTTTTGTAATCTGTTTCTTACATGTTCCTTTCTGGATATTTTGTTGAGCAAATCCTATTTTGATTTATTATAGAATTCATCATCTGTATCGGTTAGCTTTTAGATTTTTCAAAATTCAGTGTAAATTCATGGGTATTTTGTCTAATCTCTCCAAACCACATTTGCTTAAATTAAACCTTTTTTCCTAATACTTCCCTCAATATTGTAGCTGAATTTAAAAGTGTTTAATATATTCAGAACTACAGATAAATTTAACTTCAGGCCAAGATAAATATTAATTTTCTGTCTTTTGGGTTTTTAAATCTTAAGACAGTATTTTTGGCATAATGCTTCCTCCATCATATTGATCATTGTGCTCTAGAACTGAGACTAACATGCTTAAAAGAAGTAGCGTTCTTATAGTAGAACACATTTTTAAATCATATTTTCATGATTTTATGTGTAATACAATATCCAGTGCTTGGCACAAAGCAAGTGTTTAACAAATTACAGTCATTGCTCCTGTGCCCATGAGGGTTGGGGCTATGATTTAGACAGCGAACACCTTTTCTCTCCTGGGTGTCATCAAGCACTCCAGAGAGCCTAAGATAGGGCTCTTGTCCTTGAGAAACTTAGCTTCTCTCAGGGAAGATGAAATTATACATGATAACAGTGAAATAATTAAGGCCTACATTTGTATGGCACTGACGATAAATAGGAATTGAAAATAGGAAAAGATCATTGTGAGTAGCAGCCGTCAGAGGTGGCTTCAGGGGCAGCTGAAGATCTTGATTGGAGAGAGCAAGTAGAGAAAGCACTGAAGGCTGAGGAGTGAAAATGTGCTCAGGTATGTCCTGAGCTAGGCACCATGAGAGACCCCAGTTAGAAAGATGAGAACAGCAGGGTCTTTGTCCTCTCGGAGGCTTCTGGCTGGCAGGGGAGACTTGCCAACAGATGGTCGTTCTGATACCGTGAGACCACATTCCAGTGCTGTGCCAGAGGCATGTGTGAGTGCCAAGTGAGAGCAGTATGGCAGTCGGCCAGATGGTGTAGTTGGCTCCCAGAGGAGGTAGCATCTGGGCAGAGACTTCCAGGAGGATGGGGATTTCACTTGGGGAGGAAAGCAGCAGCAGCAGCAGGAAAGAGGCTGGAAAGGAGGGAAGAAAAGAACATTCCAAGGAGGAGGATATAGAGATATGACACAGCATGATGTGTTTCAGGGATCGCAACTGCTTCCGTGTTACTGAAATGGAAAATACAAGAATTGGAGTGGCTTTTGTAGTAATCCTCACATGAAGTGAGAAGAGAGAGTTCGGGATTCAGTGCAGTGGGGAAACAAGATGAATCTTAAAGATTGCTCAGAAATAGAAACAGTGGGACTTGCAAATTACAGTGTTGAATATAGGGAAAAGGAAGACTTCAAGGTTTCTTTAGGAGCTCCTTTTCAGTGTGGAAGAGGGGATTTTTGAAGACCCATAATTGAACCCCTTTTATCTCACCGATAACCAAGCCGAGGCTCAGAGAGTGGATGAAATGACCAAGTTTACTCTACCAATTCAAGGTGGAGGTGGAATTCTGAGGCAGTCCTCAGGTCCCTGGGTGTGCTTTAAGAAGCTGGAAAGGCGTCCAGTGCTGGCGAGGGGAGGACAAAAGGTGCCCAGGGTGCATAATGGAGTCATGGGAATGGTCAGAAGAGCCCTTGAGGTGTCACTGTACATAGAAAACCTCAAGAGCCTAAAAAGATGTCTAGGACCTGGCAGCTGCTCATAAACAGGGTGTGGAGGTCAAAACCAGGTAAAGTGCTGGCATTGAGCACAGTGTCAGAGAAGAAAAACAAAATGTGGTTTCACTTAGAAAATGACTGGCCCTCTGAGAATTCAGAAAAGAGATTTTTGTGAACATGGTGGTCATAAGCTAATTATAAGAAATGACTGTGGGCTAAGCACAGATCTGAGTGTTACTGAAGTCCAGTTCAGGAGGTACAGTGTCAAGCTGCAAGAAAGTACACAAAGGCATAAAGATGCCAGAAAGCTTGAAAAGTGACAAAAGCTGTGAATCATTGGAATGAATCATGAGAATGACACTCATGCAAAGTATTGTGTCCACCTTCAAAATAACAAGGACTCTTATGAGTTTAGGTTAACCATAAACAGTTTTCTAAAATATGTTCGTAGAGGCCCTTGTCAACAGTACAGGTGGCAAAAGTCAAACAAGATCTTGTCACAAAGTAGAAAGAAGAAAAAGTCTTTGTTGGATGAATACCTGCCTGTAACTTTCCAGATATGCTGGGGATTGAGGGGAAGAATGAATCATATTTTAAATAAAGTGTTTTTAAGTTACGTAGGCTTAAGATAATATTTGTATGTGTGATACACAGATACACAATGCAACTAATTCCTCTTGATGACTTAGTCATTGTATTCCTTGATCCTTTTTTGCCAAGGGTAGAAAATGCTACATTTTTTCCCTCTTGGGCACTGTTGTGGACCTAGCACTGTGCTGAGGTTGTGACCCACTTCCTTGAGAGAGCTAGGTAGTGGCAGCATCTCCAGAGATCAGCACCTAGGTGACTGTGGCTAAGAGATACAGGAGACCTCAGCGTTGTTATCCTGGAAACAAGAGAATTTTAAGTACATAAACTACAGAAACAAGGAAATTTTAAGACAAGAATTATCAAGAAGACTTACTCTGTTCCTTAATGCATTCAAGTAACATTTATTTTCATCTGAGTCTGCCACATAAGCCCTTCCTGAAAGCCAATTATGGTTCTGCTCAGTTCTTTTTGTAAAATTCAGCCTAAAATCTGCTAGAGGAATTTTGGATTGACTAATAGAATTTCTAAATAGAGTGTTGCTCAGAACCATGACTGTAATAGAAGAATAATTTTTTGTTTTTAATAATTAATTGAACTTTTCACACTAATGTATTCCTTGCCTTTAATGAGAATTTCACTTTACATTTGCTGAAATTTGCTCAACTTATTTTACATTCATCAGATAATTCACTCCTTTATGGGAAAATTTATGTTTTAGCCAACATTTTTTATTTTAGCTGGCTAAGATACTAGTTATACTAAATAAAGACCATAATGATTTTCATCCATAGGAATAGGATGCTCTTATAAATCTTTTTGAATTTGACTTCCAGCCTGGAGAACAGCTTCCTCCAGAGATGACCGTGGCAAGACCTTCTGTTAAAGAGTCCTCCAGAGAAGGCACCTCTTCATTCCATACCCGTCAGAAATCTGAGGTCTGAATTCTTCAGAGTTGGTACATTTTACTATAAAATGGTCTGTAAGGATTGTTTATTCAACATCTTAAAGCCTTCCTTTTAATCGTTATTCATATCCAGTTTCCCACAGATAAGTTAAACTGGAAAAGTAAGTAGTTTTCCTCATGGCATAGTCCTCAGTTTTCTCTTAAAAAGCCCAGTGAGTTAATTATAAGTGACTGTGCAGTGCACTGGTCTGGCTTTGTAGGCAACACTGTCATCAACCTATGGTGTAACACCTATAAATTTGTTTCCTGTCTCAGGGTGGAGTATATCATGACCCACACTCTGATGATGGCACAGGCCCCAAAGAAAACAGACACCTGTACAATGATCCCGTCCCAAGGAGAGTTGGCAGCTTTTACAGAGGTAAGCCACCACCAGCGTTGACCAGCATCTTCCTCTTCTTTCTGCCTTGGGAATCTCCAGCCTGTGCCCTCTACTACATTTTCACCAGCCCAAATGACTTCAGACCCACAGTGTTCCTGCTTGCACTATACCCTCCAACAGTGTTCTCTGGCACTGGTTCCACCATCTTTGTTCAGGTCCTTTTGGCTTCTGCCTTGGGTTCCTTGAGTAGCCTTGTTACTGGTCTCCTTGTCCATCAAAGCAGTCTCTGGAGTGGCCCTTCTGAAGCTGCATTCTTACCATACTACTCATTCATTCAGTTAAGTCAAAAAATATTTACCAGTGTCACCTGTGTGCCCAGACTGTTCCAGGTTAGAGCATGTCGGTGGACAAAGCAGCCAAACATCTGAAGCTCACATTCTCAAGAGGAAAGATTGCCAGTCAATGTAATATTTCTATACAGCAGTCAAACGTAATAGTGCTACGGAGCGGGAAAAACAGTAAGGTGCAACCCTTTGCCCCCTGCTGCCCTTCCCAGGACCCTAGTCACTCTTACCTGTTGGGAGCTTTGGCAGCTTCCCATGGGCATCAGGCATCTGAATTCCCTAAGGTAGCAGTTCAGACCCTTGCCATCCTCTCCAGCTGCCCTGCCCCTTGCTTCCCTGCCAGGTCTCTCTGGTGCTCAACCTCCGGGACTTATGTAGGCCATGCTCTCTTAGGGCCTGAAATACACTCCTCTTCCCTGTTGGGACAGCCTGTTTCTGTCCTTTTCTTTATAGTCCTCTCCAGTGTGATTTCTTCTCTGCCCACCCTTGACAAAGTATTCCCTTCTCTGTTCCACTCATGTACCTTGCTTATGCCTCTGATACAATGCAGGCCACATCCCACTGGTTTTTGTGTTTCTCTCACAAGGTTGGGCTTCCCTCAAAGACTCTGAGTCCGTGGGTTTGGGTTGTGTTCTTCAGTGATAGAGCAACTGCCTAGCATATGTGAGGGCCTAGGTTCAATCCCCAGCACCACCAAAAAAGAAAAAATAGATTCTGAGTTCTCTTTATCTTTTCTTCTTTTGACTAGCATACTGCTTGGCACAGTTTCATAAATATTTATTGACTGAATTACAGAAAATTCAAGTGTGTTTGCACAAACTTATGTGTTTTGAGATTTAACAGGTGATTGAAACAGATGCTTTGGGGGGCATGTGAACTTAAGAGACATTGATAGAGAAAGGCAACTCCTTTGGATGGTATATTGATCTGATTTCTGATTCCTGGGGGGGGGAAATTCCCTACACCTGAAACTTAAAGGAGGAGAGGTTTATTTTTGGCTCATGGTTTCAGAGGCTTCAAAAGTCCATGGTCAGCTACTCCATGGTGGAAGGACACAGTGAGCAGAGCTGCTCATTTCATGGTGATCAGGAGGCAGAACACAGGAGAAGAGTGCCAGCAAGGGGAATATCCTCCAGAGGCACGCCCCAGTGACCTGCCTCCTCCAGCTGGGCCCCACCTCCCAATGGTACATTCAGCTGTGACATCAGTGGATTGATCTCTGATGAGGGTAGGGCCTCCATGAGCGATCACCTCTCCAGGAGCTTCTCAGTTTAGTCACATTGACAAGATTACCTGGCATAGGTGGTAACTGTGTAATCATAGACTGTAAAATTATTGGGAATCCCAATACCTGGTGGAGAAGTAGATAGCAAGCTCACAGAGCAGGAGGCTCAGCCTCTCAAAGCCTTCCAGAGTCACCACAGCCATAACCTGACTTCTATTTCTGTTGTTTTAGTAGGACAGCTGGACAGAAGCAGGAATTGTGGGATTGGGGGACATTCAGAACTGTTTTGGTTATTTTAATTAGGAATCTGAGCTAAACAAATTCATAAAAATGTTATATAGGAGTAAATGTATATTAAATGATGAGGCTTCTCTGCTGTCTCTCAGTCCTACCTTTGGAAAAAGTATAAGGTGCTAAATACACCTTTTAATGCCCTCCTAACACTATGATGACTTTAGAATCTTGTAAGATTAAACTTTAATTCAAAGTAAAGTTAATTAAAACAAAATGTTATAGTGTACAATGACCAAAAGCCTTTCTTCTGTCAGTGTAAGTTTTACCTCCAAAATGTACTATGCGCTTTTTTTTTCTGTAGTTGTCTGGAGAAAATACTTTAATATAAAATGTTAATGAAGTTTTAAATTAATGAATTAGTCTTTGACTTCTGGAAACATCATTTTATTTTGCTTGCAAATCTGTTAATAACAGAAACACCTCATTTGTCTACCTCATAATCTACTTTAGGGTTTGGCAAATAGAACATTTTAATTTTAAAAAGTTCAGAAATAGAAGGAAAGCTTCAACTAAATGAAACACCTGGAGACATCTATCATTTCAATGATACTGTTAAGTCCTAGAGGAAGATGATAGTAGTATCATTGAAATGACAGATGTTTCCAGAATACTTTCTGTTTTCATTCCTGCTGATCAAGAGTCAACTTAAATGGTGTCACTTACCTTGATATGCACTCTGTATATTACTTTTTTCCCCCTCTCAGTACCAGGGCCTTCACACTGAGTTACTCCCCGCAGCCCCTTTTATTCTTTATTTTTGAGACAGGGTAAGTCTCTTAAGTTGCCCAGGCTGGCCGTGAACCTGTGATCCTCCTGCCTCAGCCTCCCAGAGTGTTGAGATTGCAGGCATGAACCACTATGCCTGGCTTGATACTACTTTTGTGATAAAATTTATAGTATATTTTAATTTGTAAACAAGCTTAGAAATTAATGGAAATATTTAGTAACCACCCCCTCCCCCAAAGCAGAAACACATTTTACTCCCATACATTATAGTTTTATTTTTGTGTTCATTGTTGAAATGAGAATGTAAAGAAAACTAATTTTTTTTTGCAAATTAGCAAATTTCTTTGTAATTTAGTTTAAAATGCATGATGACACTGCCTTCTAAGCGCCAAGGTTTAAACTGTAATTGGTTTAAGCTAGATCGAGTGTTTCAGCATGCATATTGTTAAGAACTGCTTCAGACTCAGAATAAATTTGGCATAGTTGGGTCTGTGATAAGAAAGCCTTAACTTCAGAGAATGTCAAACCAGTGGGAGGAGGGCTGTCATACTTTAAAAACCCTGCAACACTTTTCAGTTTATCAGCTAACAGATCATGTTTGTTAACTGATCCTTGCAGGTTAATGTTGTAAGCAGAGGGGAAGAGAATGTTCCCTAGAATGCCACCACCCTCAGAAAACACAGAAGTTATGTTAGAGGTAGATGAGGGTTTGTACTTACCTGTCTGTTTGATCTGTGTACAACAAAATGCAGTATTTCCGGGCATCGTGTCCCATGCTTGCAACCCTATCTGCTCAGGAGACAAGACTAAAGCAGGAGGATCACAAGTTTGAACCCATCCTGGGAAATTTAGTGAGATTCTCAAAAAAAAAAAAAGAAGTTATAAAAGAAAGGTATATGGGAATGTAGCTCAGTGGTAGAGTGTTCTGGTTTCAACCTCTAGTACCACAAAAAGAAAAGAAAGAATATGCAATCGAATAACTGCTTTGACCAAAAGAGAACACCAGTAACTTAGTTTTTCTTCATTCAGTGCCATCTCCAAGACCAGACAATTCTTTCCATGAAAATAATGTATCAACTAGAGTTTCTTCTCTACCATCTGAGAGCAGTTCCGGAACCAGTCACTCAAAGAGACAACCAGCATTTGATCCATGGTGAGTGTTATGTTTGTTTATACTCATCTTTTTTCTAATTGGAGGTTCATGAGTTCAAGTTCAACATTTATAATAAATATCTTGTAAAAGGAAAAACTTTCCTGGATTAATACGTACCTGATGAGTCTTCTATTGCATTCTTCATGACAGGGATAATGGCATTTGCAGTCTGTGTTTATTGACACTGAACCCCACACTTTGCTTACCACTTTATGTGCATGTCTCAGTCAGCTCTCATGATTGTCCTCTGAAGTAAGGGTTACTCCTCTCGTATAGAAACTAAATCTTGGAAGTCAAGAAACTTGCCTGCTGTTGGACATCCAGTCGCATGGAGAGAGCCAGGATTCAGACTTCAGTGGGTTCTGACTTCAAACCTGTGGGTTTTATCTCTATACCACCTGGCTTTTCATTCATGGGGAAAGACAGAAATAAGAGAACAGCCTTTTATGCTACCATAAAAGCAAATGAAGTCTGAGGTTTAAATGACATGGCAAGTTTCCTTATTCTTTTATCTTTATGTGTCATATGTGATACACATTTAGTGAAAGAATTACAACATATATTAATTTCCTTTAGCAAATTGATCTGAGGAGTAAGGACTTTTTAAAAAAATAGTAATAATGTAGACTTTTTCTCAGACTGCCCAGACTCTAGATGTGAGGGGTGTTTACATGTACTTCATAGAACTTTACTGACTTCTCCACCAAAAGAGTGAAATTGGACTGATACAGTAATTCAAATTTAGAATAAGACCAGTCTGACAAAGATTCCATCTTTTGTGTTTGTTGCCAAATGTAGCAGAGGGCTTTGTATCAGTGCTTCTAACACTAGGTGCCTTCACATTTTGGGCCCCACTGGCAGGACTTATAGCAAGGTTTCAGTGTTACTATGCCTTATAGTGAAAATTATTATTATTATTATTTCTGTTACTTGAGATCAAATCCAGGGGCACTCTGCCACTGAGCCACATCCCCAGCTCTTTTTATTTTGAGATAGGGTCTCATTAAGTCACCTAGGCTGGCCTTGAACTTTCGATCCTCCTGCCTCAACCTCCTGAGTGTTGAGATTACTGATGTGTGTCATCACACCCAGTTTTAATTATCCTTTAAAAAAAATAGGCCAGGCATGGTGGCATACTCCTATAATCCCAGCACTTGGGAGGCTGAGGTAGGGGGTCACTCTGAGTTTGAGGCCTGCCTGGGCAACATAGTGAATTCAAGGCCAGCTTGAAATACCAAATAAGACCCTGTCTCAAAAAAACAAAAAAATACACACATATATATAAATGTGTGTGTGTGTGTGTGTATATATATATATATATATATAATATATAAAAATGTGTATGTATATATATATATATAGACACACTTTTTAAAAGCTGTAAATACCCTTTTTCTATATAAACACACTTTGTGTCCATGCCTTATTTATAAAATAATCTAAACATAGTGACCAAGAGTTTTGATTCAAAATAGGATATTATGATTGATGTCAACTTACTTTTAGCCATATGACTTTATCTGTCCCTCATTTTCTTCAGTGCTTCAGGGCTGGGGATGTAACTTAGTAGAAGAATACATGTTCAACATTCACAAGGTGTTGATTGCTGATATTGAAGAAAAAAAAAAAGAATAGCACGTCCTTCATCTTGTTCATGTGGCAACTACAACAGTGCCTGGCATCGCAAGGGTTTGTTAGTGTTAATGACTGCTGTTATTATCCTTAATGTCCTCTAGCTTCACTATGACTTGTAGATATTTCCCTTCTGCCTAACTTTGCTGGTAAACTTTTATGGATTCTGCCTCTTGGTGACTAGTTTTTTCTCTAGTATGTAGAAGAGATCTGCTGTGCATTAACAAAGAGCACAGATACAGTATCTTTTAGTTGCCAGTTGCCAACCCCTGAGAATAGTGTCTAAAGTGTGAGAATACAGAAGGAATTGATTTTTCTCTTGTTATTGGATAATTAAGTGGTGACTTAAAAGAATATCAGTTACAGATTACCACAGTCCTATGAAAATTAGATAGGCCAGGTCAAAATTAAATCCAAAAGTGGAGGAACCTAAGATAGAGCTCAGCGGTGCACTGACTGCCTGGCAAGCATGAGGCCCTGACTTTGATTCTTGGTACAAAAAAAAAGAAGAGTGGGATAGGTGGTATTAGTATTGCATTGTTGTCTTTTTTTAAAAGGCTTTTTGGTTTGGTTTGGTGCCGGAGATTGGACGCAGAGCCTCACCTATGTCAAGTACAAACTCTATCAATGGATAATATCCCCACTTCCCTGTTTCTGTCTTTTTGATAATCTGTTTGAGTAGAGCTTCAGACAAAGATATATGTAGAAACTAGAAATCAGTTGTTTTAAAACAAATCAGAGACATCATTGGGATGCTGAACTTCAGCAGTCTTCACTGCATCATCCTTGGGCTGATACTGCTTTTGTATGGCCTAAGAGGGATCCAGAATTGCAAGCAAGGGGTGAATTGGCTCTCTTCTTTGGCTTCCTCACCGCTCCTAATGCTGCCATGATGCATCTCCTTCATGCATCACATCTAACTTTGTCTTTGAACAAGGTTCAAGGTACTTGAACTTGGTTCTTGAGTAAGATCTCAGTTTGACTCGCCATATTTCTTGTATTTAAGCACATTTGATAGCTTATGGAAACATGAGAGAATCTTGCTAAGGCAACATACTGAATTGTTATTCCTAAATTATTATGCTGCCTAAGGGCAGTCTGTTTCTTCTTGATAGTACTTTAAATTTATTTGGGGAAGAGAATATTTGTACAGTGTACACATTTCCTGCAATAGAAAAATCAGGCAAAAACAGCAGATAGATGTAGAATAATGCCCAGAACTGTTTTCTGGCCATCTCAGCTGCTAGTATCTCAGACCCACTTAAGAACTGGGAGATAAGCCAGAATATCTCAGAACAAGACAAATGGAGTTAATGTACCTAGATTCATCATCTTTACTAATAGGATGACACCTCCATCCTCACTCAGAGCCTGTTTATTCTTTTATGTTTGGCTCTACCAGTTGGTACTGAGGTCTCCAGGGCAAGAAACAGTCCTAGGTAACAATACAGTGTACACAGGAAGAGCACTAGCTGTGGAGAAAAGCAAGTGTTTCTGCCTTTTCTCAAGCCCCCAGTGAGAAAATCATGCACATTACAGATAGCCATTTAGAGTATATGTTTATAAAGTAGATGATATTTATTTTGCTTTAAAAAGACAATATAAATATGCTTGGGTTAAAAATTGACACTTAATTTGAAATCCCACTACTTAAGAACTGCTCTAACTCATTTAAACAATCCAAGTCTTTTTCTTCCTATAAAATTAGGAATATATTGTACCTACAATAGCTTGCCACCCTATCTCACAGACCTATCTCATTCACCAACTTTCTCCTCTTGCACGTTAGCTGGCCATCCTAGTCATACTGTTAGAGGAAGGGAGGACACAGGGAAAGCATCACACCCCTGACCTCTTACACTCACCTTCCAAGATGCTTCCAGAGGGATTATGCCAAAGCCAGCAAGGCTGACTCTGCCATCTAAACACAAACACCTCCACACCCCCATGCACCCACACTGTGAGTCTGGGAGCAGCTTGAGGGAGGTCAAGCTTCTTTGACTTGTCTGTACAGTGTCTCTAACACCTAACACAGGGGCTAGCATGTATAAAGTATCGATTGACTTGAGTGAAGTTGGTTTCCATGTTAATTCCTTCCTTGGTTGTGGTGAGTCTTTGGAATTCTGTTTCCCATGGCTGCTTAATGGAACCAACTGTTGTATTAGATGACATTAGAGTCGCGTGACTGCTGTGCAGGAAGGTGCCTGGTTACCTCTTGTCCCCTCCACCACCACTCCCACCATACTGCCCCACTTCCATACAGTTCTGATCAGAGCTGCTGCCCCAGGTAGTGTGCCAGGTGACTGGATGGATGATGCATTGTAAGGCTTCCATACCTGAGATATATGTGAACCTCTGCTTTCTCTTCTACATTGTTCCCCTTTGTGCTCAGCACAAACCTGCAGACTCTGCCTGGTGGAATTGCAGGGACCATTATGCACAGATCCAGAAATGATAGGCCATGCTCTTGCCCAGTTGGCCCCATGCCACTTGGCTATATTCAAGGCTCCTTCTTTGTTCGTTTATATACCACACAGTTTTCAAAAGCCTGTGTTCCAGGCAACTGCTTTCCGTCCCTCTAGCTCTCTCAGTGTCTCTCTGAGGCTTTTCTCCCTTCGGTTTTTCTGTTAATGCTCTGGGTGTTTCTGTGTAGCTTCTCCCTCACTCTTTTTTTCTGTGTCTCCCTCTCTTCACTCCAAGTTCATTCTGTCTGTAGTGATGCAGATATTCTTAGGCTTCACTCCTAGCTTTCATCTAGTTCAAGGGTAATTTATTTCCTTTTTCTTCCGGCCCTGGGCTCTTTCCCTGCCTAGGTCTGAGCCCCACCACCTGCTTACCATCAGCTTGAAAATGTTTTCTTCATCATTCCTCCTGCCCCACCTAGACTGTAGTTTTTCCAGGGCCTCTGAGGAAACCCTGCCAAGGGTCTTTGATCCACCTTTCTTGTGTTTTGTGGACCCAACTCTGTAACACCAAACTGTAAACTCTGAGCTGTTTTTCCCATTCTCCTTCCTCTTCCATTTCTTCCCCTTCATCGGCCTCTCACTTTTTCATCTTGTTCTCCATTTCATCCTGGATAGACTCTCCTCTTCCCAGGCAAGTTCCTGCTTCCTCCGAGGACTGATTCTCAAGCCTTCCTTTTCTCTCCTGCCAGTATTACCATTCTTACCTTAATGCCAGTTCCCTTTGGAGACTGCATTCATGAGAACAGTATAACACTGCATCTAAAGAATCTTTAATTTTCTACCATCCCCTTTTCACCCATTCTGTGTGTCTGAAGTTTTCTAGCTTTCAGAGTTGTAAATGCGTTATTCTAAATTCCAATGCCTACTATGTTCTAGCTTGTTAAACTACACAACTTTTATTTCAGAACTTAGAACTCCCTCAGTGACTTTTAAATTGCAGATACTAATGAGTTTCCAGAACACTTGGGCCCACAGTACAGGTTTTCATTTCCCTGACATTCCCATCAAGTGTTAGGGAAGAAATGGTCATCACGCATTCAGGCAGTCATGCTTTTTACTCCCCAACCCCTTTGCCGTTACTGTCTTTGATCTTCAGTCTTTGATTTTTAAAATAAATTTTCTGTGGCTTTAAAAACTTCTTTGTTATAGCTATAGAACAAGTTTGCCATTGAAAATTAAAAAGAAGAAACTGTGCATCAGTAATTCTTCTACCTAATGTGATAGCTATTACGATTTTGTTTTGTTTTGTGTCTAAGACATAGTCTCATTATTTTTCCCAGGCTGTTCTCAAGTTCATGGGCTCAAGAGATTCTCTTGCCTCAGTCTTTTGAGTAGCTTAGACTACAGGCGTTCGCTATTATATCAAGCTTATTAAGGCTTTTTATTTTAATTTCTTCTTGCCTTTTAAAAAAATGCATTTGCATTTATATCTATACACTGTGTTGTATATAGTTGGGCTTATTCCATGTAGAAAGTTTTGAATCTTGGTTTTACTTAATATTATAGTTGAAATATTCCTTCATACCATCTTCTTTAAAGATGTAATTTTTAATAGCTTCATGGAGTTTTGTGTCATGCAGATCTGTAATAGTTTATTTACACATTTTCTGCCTTTACATATTTTTATCAAATAAAGGCAAGAAGCTCCTTTGCTCATATTTTCTTAGATGTCTTAATTACTTCATCATTGTTAGTTATTCTAAAACCATAGCTTTAGCTCTGTCACTTTTAATGATTGTACCACTCTTGATTTTGTGGAATTGCTTATAGAAGAAATCCAGTCATTTGAGAAAATGGCTATTCACATTCATATAGTTATTGAAATTTAAAATAATGTCCATGGAATGGGAGATTTTCCAACAATAACATCAAGGTTCTTTGTTCTTTTTGTTAAAAGTGTAAGTCCTCTTTTAACACACAATATGGGCATCTTTGTTATGGCGAAGATGTTGTTTGCTGTCTTTTAATATCATCTGTTTTTATTAAAATACCTAGTGGTATCTGAAGTATTAAGCTTAATGTCAGTATTTTCAGTTAGACAGGTTTTTTCTTTATATGCACTTTGTTTTAAAGCATTCATCCTGTTTTTTCTTAAGTATTTTTATTTAGTTTTAATAAGTAGGAATTTTCTAGGTTCAGGCAATTTTTACCTTTATTTATAATGTTTCTGTAGCAGCATTGATTATTATGCTCAATTATCTTGGCAAGGTAGTACTAATAATGAGCTGGTTTTTTAGAAGATAAATAGAAAAATTAAGGTATTGAAAATGTTCCTGCACTTTATGTCAGAGGGTTACAGAAAAGGCGTTCTCTAAGCCCTTCACTTTTCAGAATCTCTAATTTTTAGGCTTTCAGCATCATGAAAATGGTCCTGCAATGCAGTTACAGACAATTTGTAATAGTGCTCAAATTGCTAGCTGAGTGAGTCTGTGCCGAAGGATAACCATTAACCATGTTTGATTAGATTTGAGTTCCTCCTGTGCTTTTTTAGAGGACCTTTACCTACATGCTTGATTCTTCATGGCTATGTGAACCTGGTGTCATGCATTTTCAGTCTGCATTATATTTGTCACACAATGGAAAGAGAATGATAGAAAGATCAATATAATAAAGATGTCTTCTCATTTAGGAAAAGTCCTGAAAATATTAGTCATTCCGATCAACTCAAGGAAAAGGAGAAACAAGGTTTTTTCAGGTCAATGAAAAAGAAAAAGAAGAAATCTCAAACAGTAAGTAGATAGCCAATTTCTGTATATAATGGCATAGGTTTCTGCTTTATTCTGTGGTTACTTTATACTCTGTATGTGGCAATCAAAGTTAATTTCTTACTGAGACTCGAATGCATACACTGTATATGTCTCTTTCTGAAATTCTATACAACTGTTCCCTCACAGAGTTTTCTAGATTCAGCAGAATCTCCAAGAGTAGAAATTTAATTTGGATAAGAGAGAACACTTTAATTCTCTCTCAACAAACTTCTTATCCAAATGGATTTATATTCCTATAAAAACTATGAAGATGCAGGATTTGTTTCTCCCTGGAGGCATAAAAATATGTGAAAACTTAGGAAATGATTTTGGTTTACATGTAAGTCTTGAAATTCACAAACAACCATCATTCCTTATCCTCCCCTGGCTGGTTGTAGGCTGCCCATGTTGACAGGCACATTTCTGGGCCATATAGTCACAGAGAGAAGATTACATGACATTTCAGGCCTTGCTTTAGTAGGAAAACATGTTTCCCCTGCGACTGCACTGTCAGACTGTGCCCAGGCTCCTGGGAGCCCTTGACCTAAACAATGGGCTGGCTCCATAGGACTGAGCACCTTACTTCACTGAACCACCCAAGCAAGGATCCTGCTGGCTAGCGATACAAGATAATGGAGAACCAGGCCTCCAGGACCCAGGAGGGTGGTTCTTCATCCAAAGGAGGCTTGCTTCCCCCTTTGCTTCAAGACTAGATGAGGTTGAGTTAGCCACTTTAAATGGTTTTGTTTCTGTTTTTACTTAATATATGCTTTACTCTCATTTACTTGAAGAAGAAAATGACCTGTGTGGAGGGATTTCATTGATTTCATCTGTAAAATGAATAGATTAGACTCAGTGGTTCTGAGGTCCTTTCCATTATGAAAATTCTAGAATTATGACTCCACAGTAAGTAAAGACAAGATAGATGATACTAGCAAGGTATATTACCCCAAGTAAGGATTTTTGTCTCACAGATGTTCTAGAAATGTTAACAAAGACCTTTCTAGATTACCTTTCTAGACCATTCTTTCACTTGCTTGCTTGGTAAATGTATGTATTTCATTATACAGTAAACATGACCTCATTACAGAAAAATCATGGAAAACAAAAAGATTGTTTTTAATCTTACCACCTTCCCACAGCTAGTATAGTAAGTTCCCAACTTACAAACGAGTTCCATTCCAGGACAGTTGTTCATAAGCCAGATTCATTCATAAGCTGACAAAGTGAGTCTTATACAGTACACCTTTGAAAGTTTGCAACTTGAATGTTTGTAAATCAGGGACTTACTCTACTCTATTAGGATTTGGGAGTATTTCCCCCTAGCTTTTTAGCTAATGTATATGTTTGTGGAAGAAAGGTAGGTGGGTGCACACACACGTTTGAAGTTTGTTTTAAATAATAGTAATCATTCTAGTAATATTTTGTATTCTTTTAATAGTATATCCATCTGTATTATACACATAATTATATATATACATATTTATCTATCATAAGCATTAAGTGTTGGCTACCTCTTCTTCACCACTGTTATTTATATTTTAAGGTTTTTGTTCTTACCACAGATCTGTGGACATTATGGGATAACTGAGTGTTAGAAATAAATAGTAAGGATCAAAGAATTGAAGATGTTTTATAATGTCTGTCTGCCCTAGCCCCTGACTCACATGGCTCGTGTGTGTGTGTGTGTGTGTGTGTGTGTGTGTGTGTGTGTGTGTGTTGACATTTTTATTCAGGCTTCAGTTCAAAGTTTAGATATTTAAATGGTATAGACTAGGGTAAATAGGGAAATTACTATTCTCTAACATCCTCTCCACTTATTTTTTATTGATATTTAAACTAACTGCAAAATATCTTTCCACAGGTCGTAAACCTTCCAAACCAAAAGTTTCTTATACCTCTGCATGATTTAATGAAAAGAAAAAAGAAAGTTTTAAGGGCTTTGAAATATAGAGTCAGATTTCCAAAGAGCACTATATCATCTGTGAGATCTCAAGCTCTTAAGCCTGGCATTGGGTCAATTCCATCTTCTTTGAATCAGCATTCAAATATAATTAAAGTTAATTTGTTTTCATTTTCTAGAATTCAGCAAAAGGAAACTAAAACACACTTTGAAAGATAAGACATTCTAGCTTTTATATAAAATTAAAAGAAATTGAAATCTGATGCCTAGTGCACATAGAGAAATACAACATTTAAAACTTGAGGTGGATCCTAAATCTAGTTGAACTCCTTTATTTCACTAGTATAGGAACTGAGCCTGGGCAGATTTGACCTGCCCAAAGTCACAGTCAAATGGGAGGATTAAAATTGAGCTGTCCTGAATCCCAAGCTCAGGCTCAGTCCTTGCCAAGCCATCTCTTTAAGAGCCTTCTGGGAGCTCTCTTCTGGCCTCCTTAGCAATGTAAGTTAAACTCTGCCCTTTCATTAGACCAGGAAAATCATGGAATATTTTACTTGACTGTTTTTGTCCACCCATGAAAGATGGTCTGATTACCTTTATATCCATTGTAGTTCTCTGACAATTGAGATATCTAAATGAGAGAAAAAGGACCAGAAAACAGTGTCCTGTTGTAAAGGTGATTGCTTTGTTTGACACAAGCAAATTTGGAGTCTGCCTTGGGAAATCTGGCTTCAGTTCCATATCCAGATAGTTACATAAGCCCTCAGAGCATATGGTGACTTTGCCAACTTGGTAATTGTAACCTACTTAGTATCTCAACTTGCAGGGATGCTTCAGTTTTAAAAATTGAACTTTATGTTTCTTCACTTGAAAACCAGTATGTGAATTGTGCCAGGTATTTTCCATGGAGTAAATGTTTCTCACAGTGTAGAACAAGGCTTCTTACTCAACATTAGTATCCCACAACAGTGGTAGTCCCCTTCCAAGTGATGTTTCCTGGCTCAAGAGTTGACCACGTTCAAAAGAATTTACAGTATCTTTTTTTTCTAACAGGAAAATTACATGGTAGACTTTTTAGTTTCCGAAGTCCTCTTCTAGCAATTAGGGAAAGACTGAGCTTTATCAGTAGCTCATAAAACATAATTCTTTATAAGAATCATTTCTGATAATAAATTCTTAAATGTTTTAAAATCTTAATATAAGTAGATGGTGGTAGGTCTCCAGGTATTCCTACTGTAGTAGATATTGACTGTGACTATATATTGTATGCTTAGAAGAAATTCTTGCTTATCTTGAACTTACCATATTGACTTCTTCATTTCCAGGTGAGAAATGACACAGAACCTCTCTAAGATGTACAACACAGAGATTCTTTCAGTGACTTAATATTTAACAATTTGAGGGCTGCCAAAAGCTAGTAGTTTTAGTAAAAGCACCCTTTTTTGGCAATTAGTTTATTTGTATCTTATATTGCAGACAGATTGCACCAACGGGGAGAATCCAAGCATCAAGAAATCCCTCTTTCCTCTTTTTAATTCAAAGAATCATTTAAAGCATAGTTCTTCTTTGAAAAAGCTTGCTGTAGTCACTCCACCCATGGTACCCATTTTTATGTATGGTAGCCCTGAAAACTGCTCCAGTAAACTTGTTTTACTGATGACAACAGCATGTCTTATTTTCATGGGGTCATATTCTCTTTATGCTAGTTAAGTACCTGAGCCAGTTCCATAAATTCACTGAATTTATTTATTTCTTCACCTTTCTGAATGACTTAAGGAAATTGAAGCATAAAGTCTATTGAACAAACTAGTGAAAGGCTAGTTTGGATTGTCTGATTAGCCGATTATTGCCAGACAGCATTCATAAAATCCCTTATTTTCTGTGAAGGATTTGATTAACATTTACAGTTGAAAAATGTCTTTGCATTTGGCTCATGAAGTTTATTAACATTTGGTTTGCAGTTTGTTTCTCTGAAACCCAAGTTTGAATTGACCAAATTAAGTGAGCTACCAGCCTCCATGAAAAAACAGCTTCTACTAGTTGGTGACTTGCTCTTTCTTTGCCTGGCTCTAGCTTTTGCTGGTCACTTAGTTTACAGCCATGGCTTGTCATTTGACATAATTGTCCTTTATTCACCAAAATTGGTGAATGGACCAATTGGATTCATTTGGAATTTGTGGCATAAATTTCCAGCATTTACCTAGTGTATAATGCTAGACCCAGCTTTACTGGGCAGTGATTTGGGAATATGATTCAAACCATACTTTCCCACTTTGCTGTCCTTGAAAGCCTACTAGTCTTCTTTAACATCACCAAATACAGTGTTTAGATCATTTTCCCAGCAGGAAAAGTTTTTTATTTTATTGAACTGGTTCATAACCTAACTGCAATATGGAATGAGGATACGACGGCAATTCCTAGTACAGCCCAATTTAACTGCTCTCTCTTACAGCCACTGAAACTAACAGCATGGGAACGCTTTACGGGTTGAAGTTTTAACAAAACTGCATGACATCTGCCAATTTTTCCTAATGCAGGGAAAATTATTAAGAAGGCAGCAGAATTTAACTAGCATCACTTGCATTATGAACATTGGGAGAGTTCGGGTTTCTTTATTGGGTCTTTTTTTTTTTTTGGTTTGGTTTGATTTTCTTTTTGGTTTGGTTCTCCTCTTGGATGTGATTGTATATTTTAATTAGTCTTATTGATATGTTTATTGATTCTTCGTCCGTCTTTTGCTCTAGGTACCCAATTCTGATGGCCCTGATCTTCTGACATTACAGAAAGCTCTTCACTCTGCTAGCACTTCAAGCAGCAGACCAAAGGAGTGGCGCCCTGAGAAACTATCAGATATACAGACCCAAGTGAGTGAAGGCCACACCTCTCCTAGACTCTGACTCTGCAGCAATTCCAGGGCTAGTGGGCAGTGGAGAGAATACTTAGCCTCTTGATATTACAGCAAAGATAAGTCTCCCCCAAATAGACCCTCATTAATAGCCAGGTGCATCTTGGGAGTCAGAATCTTGTTTTAGTGACTCATGTTCCAGTGGTGAAAAGCATGCTCTCCAATAGTCTTCATCTAGGTGGGGACTGGGCAGAAGGTTAGAAGAACAAAGAAGACATAGTCTTCTGTATCAAATACTGTACAACCCAGGAGAGAAAGGATATCCATAAGGATCTTAGTAAAAAGATGTTGGAATAAAGTGAGGTGTGCCGTAAAAAGTTGGGGAGGATGAGCAGTGATGATGAGATGATTAAGGTTTCCTTAAAGGTGGTGGTAGCGTATGAATTGGGCCTTCAAAGATAAGTATAATAAACCTGGAATGAATATTTAAACTTCTGAAATCTATACTTTTTCATTTATTTAGTTATTTGTACCTGTTTGTACCGATAGAAAACAGGCAAGCAGTTGCATTAGGAACTACCTATTAGACAATATTGTGTAGCTAACATTTATCTGCTATAATGGAATAAGCAAACTGAATCAGTAAAGTTTTCAAGTAACTAAAGTTTATATCACCTTTAAGCAGCTATTTTGATTGGAAGTATTTCAGTATTATTTCAGCATCCCATAATAAACATAGTGATATAATCTACCATATTTCCTTTAATCATGTCACAGATTTCTGTGATTTGGAGGCAAGGGCTCTGCTTTTTACAGTTGTTGTTTACTCTTTTCAGCTGTAAGGTATTAACTTAGAGCTGTGCACAGGAGTTCCCCAAATTGCCATTCTCTTTTCCTAACATTGATATTTTCTGCCTCTAACATAACATAAGCTGTGTGTGGGTGGGTGGGTGGGTGAGGGGCACAGAGATCCAGGTATCTAAGTTTATCAGATGTGTATCCAAACTAAGGAGACAGGGCTCTGAATGAGAACCTGATGCTCTATTCCCAGTTTTTAAAAATGAATAAATAAAAGAATGTGGGGCTATAGAGTCTCCTTGAAAAAGAAAAGCTATTTCTTTATCCAGGAAGCTCTTTTCAAGTAACTTTACATCTCCAGCTGGATCAGTCTCCCTTCACAGTGTAGCAACCTGTGGGACCTTTGGCCGGAAGCAGCCATACTACAGAGAAGTCTACTGTGAGCCCATGCTAGGAGTTGACAGCCTCCACTGAGCAGGTCATCTATTAGATTCTGTAGGGGTTTGCTTTTTTCTCTGTGTTTTGCATTTTTAATGCCCAAACATTACCCTCCCCCTAAATTTTTTTTAAAGTAGAACCATAGCAGGGAACACGGAGATTTTGCATTATCAAAGGAAAGGGGAGATCAGGGAGATAAGAACAAAAAGGGTTGTATGATTTTTAGCTCAGTGCATAGCTACCTAACTAAAACATTACATTTTCCAGCTCTTCTCTTGCTTGTGTACTTAAGTTCTAGCTGGTGAGGTACAAGTGGAAGCATTATGTGGAGCTTTTGGGAAATTGTCTCAGAAAGGAGAGACATGTCCCTTCTTTTTTATTCCTTCTCCTTCCTGTGGTTGAAGCATGAAACCCCATGGTAAAGATAGCATGTAGCCAGGTTGAAGGAGCCTGGGTATTTGAGCTCTGGTTGTCTTCTGTAGTTTTCTGGGGTTTCACATGAAAGAAAAGTGACTACAGTCATGTCTGAAAAAAGCCAAAGAACAGATAGACTTGGACTAGCTCCTCCAATCACATGCTTGCCCTGCCTGCTTCTGTCTGGTCATCTCCCATCTAAGCTCCATTTCCTCCCAGCTCCCTAGTCTGCTCTAAATTAAATCGTACATGCATTCTCATCTTTTCTTTCAGAGCCAGCCATTAAAATCGCTGCGCAAGCTGTTACATCTCTCTTCAGCCTCAAATCACCCAGCTCCCTCAGATCCCCGTTTCCAGCCCTTATCAGCTCAACAAACCAAAAATTCCTTCTCAGAAATTCGGATTCACCCCCTAAGCCAAGCCTCTGGTGGGAGCAGCAACATCCGGCAGGAGCCCACACCAAAGGGCAGGCCAGCCCTCCAGCTGCCAGGTCAGATGGATCCTGGTTGGCACGTGTCCTCTGTGACCAGGAGTGCCACAGAGGGGCCTTCCTACTCTGAACAGCTGGGTGCCAAGAGTGGGCCAAATGGGCATCCTTATAACAGAACAAATCGCTCACGAATGCCAAATCTGAATGATTTAAAAGAGACAGCCTTGTAATTTGTGCTGGGGTGAGGGGAGGGGGAACAAGCCAGTTGGGAGGGGAGGGCGTGGGGTGGGCTAGGGAATAGGCTGGGCCTGGGTTGTATTGTAAGCCAGTATTCTCAGCTTTATGAAGGTGTGTGCAATATTGTATGTGTGGGGCCATCTGGCTCCTCACAGCTACAAATGCCAGTCAGGGATCTTAGAGCCAAGGGAGTTCCTTAGGGATCGCCGCTCCCCACAGGTCTTGTGTGAGAATGGATAGAGTGTACCACTGAGGAAGAAGAGATTCTTGCCAATTTCTCCCCTTTACATTCCAGCTTTAGTGCAATCTCTGTTGAACTTGGGAAAGCCAGGACATGTCCTAGCACTGCAAGGGATAGAAAAATTCATGTTGACCGATGCCCTTACCACATATTTTTTTCTGTGTAGACTAAATGTGGGGTTTATTGTAATCCAAGAGTATCCCTTTGAAGGGTTAGCAGATAAACTGTATGTCTTAAATTGTTTTCTAAGCTTCCACATTTGATAGGATTTGTAACATTTATTTATAATTAATATTGTACTGTTATAATCATACCTTTTATGTTATAATGTAAAGTTATTTTGAGCTGTTTGGAACATTGTGAAGCAGTGGGACAGCTACAGTAGTTTCTATAAAAACTAATCAGTAACATTTATATATTGCATCAGGAGTATTTTATTCTATATATATAAATATATATATGGTAAATGTCTGTTTTATAAATATATTCATTTAAAGAAAGTATTGTTATGACACTATCTGCCATATTTTTATACATTTGTGATATGAAGTGAGTATTATACTCCTAATAAAGGGAGTTGAATTGTGGCTACATGTGACTGTAACAGTATGAACCTTGCTCAACTATTCAGCCCCAGCCTCTAGATGTGATCCTTAGTAGCAAACAAAATGCAGCATCTCTTTCCGGACCCACAAGGGAAGAAGGTCGGATAGACCAGTGAGGATCCCCACGGGCCTTGTTTTCCATCCTCACACTTGGCTCCCATTATGTCCAGGGACATGAGGGGAGATAGAGGCATTGCTCTCATGAGTCTTTTAGAGAGAATGTGCTCTTTCACTTAACATTAGTGTAGAGAGTAGACCAAAGATTTGCCTGCGAACATTCCCTGTCGTGAGGGTTTAAGAGGCACCTGTCTGCAGATCTTGCAAACCAGCTCTATGCTCCTGAATACTGTCTGCCCTCCTGGAGACTCTTGGCTCCAGGAGGGACGAGATATGTGTGTGGCATTTCTACTTGTAAATGCTTTTTCTGTTACTGCTCTTTGTGATATACTTAAAAGGCTCCTGAAGCAATTCCAGATGTAGAGAAAATTGATTACATATATATAATATATATATATAATATGTATATATATCCGGTTTTTTCTTCCTGGGACTGTCCATTTACAACAAGGTCATCATGCGCACCTGTATATACACACACCACTCCATCAGAACAGTACCTGTGTTTCCCCTCATCTGATCACTTTCATATCTCAAGTAACTCCTGAGTTACTCCAAGTATCATCAAGGCCTTTGGCCAGCAAGTATCACATACGCCTGTGTCTCTGGGCCATTCTTGACAGAAGTCACCTCAACACCATCATATATCAATCAGTAGTATTAGATATTTGGAAGTAGTCTCTTAGAAATAAGACTTTTAGCAGTTCCTCCCACCCCTCAAAGAGGTAACTTCTCAGTATTTATTACTCATTCCAGAATTCTGAGAGGGCCAGCCCCTGAAGCAAGTCAACTGTCATTGAAAATGCTGAGTTACCTTTTACCCTCCCCCAAGATTTTGAGAATCTTAGGTCTGATGATTATGAAGATTATAAAGAAAAAATGTCTTAGATTCTTTGAAGCTTAAATTGTGTGCATATTGCATTTTTATATAAATACTATAATGTGTATTGATTATATATAGAGGTCATTTTAAGGTGCTTTTTATTTAATTTTAATAAGTATAATAGGCACTAAGATGAAACTCAACTGGGTACTATCACTGAAACAATTTGATTCAATAGTTTTGCATGCTCTCGTTCTTTTTCTATCTTTTTTCTTTTACCAGTTCAGTACCGTTTGGGTAGCTCTGAATTCTGGCTTTTCCCAGGCAGCTGCTTGATTATTCAAGTGAGGTAGACCCTCAGCAGTTTTTGTCTGGATATAGTGACTCTTAAAAGGTGTATATTTAACTGTTCTTTTTCATACTGAATCTGTACCTTGTTATCCCCCTTGCAAACCAGAAACTACATTTTTTCTCCTCTGGAAAGACTTCTCACTGTGCTGTGTGCTTAGAAACTGCGAGGTCCCGTTGCCATACTGTGGCATTTGAGGCTCGTTGTCACCTGGGGCCTGGTTTCCCATGTTGTCACCCTTGCTAACACTGGGATCCCAGATGTTTGCAGAACATTTATATTCATGACAGTTCTTCAAAGAAGGGCTAGAATAATTGCCTTCTACCTATAACAAACTAAACCTAACTGATGAGTCAATATATACTTTTTCGTACATTCCCAGATTTGAGCCAGAAAATAGCTACATTTTCAACTAGTGTTTTCGGGGTAGCTCTTTTATCCTCTTAGCTTTTGTCCCTTCTGACTTTTCATTGATCCTCAATAAGCTATAAGTGAACCTACAGTCGGCATTTCTAGCATGTCATTCTCTTTCTGCTCCTGCTCGCAGGGTAGAATGTGGGGGGTGTGAAGTTTCCTCTCAGATCTAATGGGCCCTCTCTTAGCTTTGAACTGTTGCTTTCCCCTCGGGTTGATGAAGTTATTGACCTCACAAAAACTATGATCCATGCATGGTAGGAAGGACTTGACCTAAAGTCACAACAAATTGCATTTTCTCTAGGAAGAGAAATTTATGACATCCATGTTCTATTATCTGCCCTAACCTCCTAAGAGGTACAAGGGTTAAATGAACACTTATGAATTACTTTGTTTTATGAAAGTACCACTGATCTCCTTTTGAAAAGCAGATCGGCTTCTCTGTTTTTTTTACTTTTGCTTCTCTACCATCTACCTTTTTCTTCTCTAAAGGTCTGAGTGAACTTTAACTGGGCCTTGTTCAGTCTTGACTGAAGCTCTGCCTCTCGCAGAGCCCAATGCCAGAAGGGAGTGCTCCATGCAAGGGGGCTCGAGTGAGCTGTCTCTATAGCAAGCGTTACCCCTCCAGGGGCAGTTTTGTCCCCCAGAACACATCTGGCAATGTCTGTAGACATTTGGTTGCCACTAGGGGCATCCAGTAGGTAGAGGCCAGGGGTGCTGCTGAACATCCTGCAATGCACAGGACAGCCTCCCAAACACAAACTGATCCAGCCCTGAACATCACTAGTGCTAAGGTTGAGAAACCCTGCTCTATACCATTCCAGGCCTGCACCACCACCAAGTCTGCAGCACTTGGCTCTGGCTTTGTTCTTTCCAGGGCATAGAACTGCAAGTATGAATTCTTCAATGTCACATTCTCTTAAAAAATCTTCTGCCACTATTCTTAAGTTCTTGGTATCCTGTTTGTTCATTTCCATTGTCTTGGGCCTGCTAAAAGGTACATACTTTGGGAGGAACCCAGAGTTACTTTATATGTATTTGAGAATTTAAATCCTAGGTTAGCATCCTTAGAAAATCTCTCATAGAGCCATGAGGCTTATTTTTAGAAGCAAGCAGCAGCCTGGCAGATTGGCATGATTTTTACCAACTGCTCAAAGGCGTCCATGGCTTTTAGCTGTGTCTACCGAAAGAAAATGTCTTTTTTGTTCATTCAAGTCATTTAATAGCTCTTTACAAATATTAGCATATGGCAGACCAATTAAAAGCAAAAAACTTTATTGGTGGTTGTGATGTGGCTGTTATAAAAGTATTTTGCTGTATGCTTTGATTAAATCTGCTTTAAAACATGCTTTAAGACTCACCATATGCAGTTGTATACTTTAATTCTAAGCTCAGAGCTATGCTGGTCAGTTTCTAGTTGCACCATGTATTATAAAGTATGTTGTGGTTGTAGAATTAGCCAGTTTAGCATGTTCCTAATCTGAAAATTAGTGGACTACACTAGGAAATGCTATCCCGTTTTCCTTTCTCAGCACCTCTTAGTTGATATCATAGTATCCTCACTTCTTAAACTAGTTTTTAGAGTAAATAAGGAAAAAAGTCATTTATTTTCTTCTAGCCATGTATTGAAAGTGATTCATAAGTGTACAACTTTTTTTTCAAAGGCCAGAGGATTACTTCTTGAATGCATAGAAGGCTCTGTCCACTTTTGTTCACCTTGGTCCCACTGATGACAGAACTCTTTTGGCAAGGACAGTAAGCAGCTCATCCTGAGTCACTGCTGGAGCTCAGCTGGAGCTCAGCTGGAGCTCAGTAAATCTGCATATTCTCTCCTGGCCAGAACCTGTTTTCTAGAGAGCATTGCTTTTATATCTACAAGTTCATTGCTTCCTGCATTCCAGTGGGATGTTGAACTCTTTGTGGGTACTAAAACCCACAGACTCATACTTCTGTGAACCCGAAAAGTAGTACATTACACTAAACCAGGTCAGAAAATAGTGGAATATTTCCTTGCCTCTTTCATTCATCACTAATAAAATGTGTAGACAGAGAAAGCGTATTTGTGGTTTAAGAAATAACAGTACTGTTTCTTTGAAAGGGACTATGGAAAAGATAGTGCAGATGTTGTAAATGTCCTGTCACTAACTCCCAGAACCAGAATCTCATAAGAAGGTTCTCACAGTGATTTAAAAGGTCAGCTTTGAGCTAAGGCTATAGCTCAGCGGTAAGCACTTGCCTCCCATGCGTGAGATCTTGGGTCCTATTCCCGGCACCACACACACACACACACACACACACACAAAAACCATACATATACATATACATATGTGTGTGTGTGTTTATGCATGCTGGCTTGGGAACAAAAAGAAAAAAGGTTTCCTTTGCTTCTTGAGTGGCTGAGATATACAGTATTTTAAGGTATGGCTCAGCTGATTTAAAAATTTTGTGTTGGAAACCATTGAGTAAGAAGCCATGAAAGAAAATGAAGTCTCTCGTCTGTCTGTATACCCTCAATGGGGGAGAAGTCCGGTGGCTAGGAAACTCTGGGCCTGCTGCCCTATGTGACTTTTTTAATTGAATGTATTATACAAGATGGTAGACTTTTGTGTGAGCCAGTTACTACAGCTTCTTCATTGCCCACAGTGCTTTCTTAATCTATCTGTGTCAGGCCTAGTTGGTCCCGACTGCACCTTTCTTCTCTCCACCAGGCACTGACCCACCTTTCTGTGTATTCACTGTAGGCTATTAAAATGATCCTTCCCTGCCTTGTATTTTCATCCATCATTTACTCCCAAATTTAAGGGAGAGTTGTCTCTTGTTTTGCCAGAAAAATGTTGTCACAGTCTGCATGCTGGATTTGTAGGGCCAGCAGAACTGCAGCAGTGAAACTGGTGTCCCTTCTAAGGCCCTTCAATTCTCACAAAGGTAAGCTCTCTACACCCCCTTTGATCCTCGGTCATATTTGATCCTCCTTGGGAATCTGAAATCAGTCTCTGTGTTGAATGCAGATTAGAAGTTGCCTTGTTTGCTACTCTTCCCATGCAGAGTATCAGGGAGAAAGAGGCCTTATCTGTCCCTCTGTCCCCTTCTTTTGACAGACTGCTGAGAATCCCTCAGGACTTCCTTTGGTTTGGGATTTCACTGCCCAAAAGGCTGATGTGATTCATTTCAGGCCTAGACAAGCTTGTTCTAGTGCTCTGCTTCAGGTCTAGTCAGAAGAAACCCAGGAATAGAAAAGGTAGATGCCTTGACTTTTGTCCCTTTTGGGGGATTAAAGTGTTTATTGCCAGAGTTATCAAAAGCTCCGGTTAAACTATGTACAGTTTCATGAGAAAAATGATGCTTTTCCTCCTGGAGAATGTATAAGTTCTCCACAGCAGCATTGCTCTCCAGAATGGAAAGCAAAGCTTGCAGAAAATCCACTTTCCCTAAGGATATACAATCAGTTCTAGTCTCCAGTCTCTGTCTCTCTCCCTTTCCTTGTTTATACTCCTTGGTCACTGACTGAGTCAGGCTGGAGGGGTGATGCGATGATGAAAGGAAGTGAATTCTCACTGTAAACTTGTATCGATTAGCAGAAACAGTTAAACCAAACAAAATAGTTACCCCGATTCCTATCTCCAAGAATTGCTTTGTGCCATTCTGAATTCAGGTAGTTATTCTGTATATAGGTAGACTACTAGTCAGAGCTTCTTCAATCTCTAGTAAGTTTGAAGGGGGTATCTGGGAAGACATAGGGCAGGGTAACATTGAGACCCTGTTCATTCTTTAAAAACAAAAATAGGGATGAGACATCCAGTTTGTAGTAGATGAAGAATCATTGGAAATTCTTAATTGCACAGACTTTATAATCCATTATATAAAGTGTAATTCCATACTTTTTATTGTGGCAAGGGTGTGATGTGGTTGTTAACCTTTTTAATTTTTGAATCCAAATTGAATTTAAAGTGTTGAATACTTAAATTCCTCACAAGCTAATTATGAACCATTTGTAAAGTGTTTCTATAACTCTTTGTATCATGTGTTGGTACATCTTATCAAGTTTTTTCTGGCATGTATTCCATTCTAAACTTCTGTAAAATTTCTATTGTTGCTGTAAATATTATACAAATATCTACTCCGTGGTAGTCTTCATTATCAGCATGAAATGGTTAATTTTTACTGAGCACAATGTATTTTTGAATGGATCTTCCCAAATGTCTTTAATAAAATGCAGATTTTGCACTGACTGATGTGACTGCCAAGCCGTCCTAATCTTAAGCACTGTGGTTCTTGTGTTGGAACAGCAAGCAGCACCATTTTAGTTCCTTCTTTGTAAAGAGAATGCGCTCGAATTCAAATGAGGGATAAGGGGCCTTTGAGGAAGAGAAAGTAATATAAAGTGAGGCAAACAAAGCCTGTTACTTAATGATGTTGGGGTTTTTTTTTCCTGTTTATAAGGTTCTTTTCCCCTTATGGTATTTTGAAAGCTGATTTCTTTTACACTTGAGTGTTGTCACATGTACATGTTGCTGGAGCTGACTCGGTGATTTGAGGAGAATGGGAAGAGATCCCAGCTGGGCACTTGTGCTATGAAGAAAGCAAAGATGGACAGCTCTGGGAGGCTTTCTTGTTCTAGAGCAGGGGCCAGCAAACTTCTGGAAAGGGTGAGATGGTAACTACTGGAGGCTCTGTGGGCCATAGGGGCTCTGTCACCTCTACTCAGTTCGGCCTTTGTCATACAAAAGCAGGTATATAATACCTAAATGAGAGAACATGGCTTCATTCAGATAAAACTTTATATACAAACAGGCTACAGTTTACTGTCACCTATCTTGGGCCCTCTGTTTTGTCATTTGTCGTAAAAAGATCAACTAAGTAGTGCTCAGTCGGGGGCAAGAATTTATATTTTGTGGTAACATATATAAAATATTCTCCAATTTTCTTTTAAACAAAGAGCAGGAGCTTAAACAGTGCCTTGCCCTATGTCAACTAATTCTTCACTAAGTGTCTTCATAAGTGGCATGAAAACTGACCTGTGATTTCAGATATACTTTTATTAAGACTCAGTCAAGTAAAGTGGTACCTCAGTTCATAAAGTTAATACTTTCCACAATTCTGGCCACAAAAATTGGATGAGAACTGAATCAAATTTCCCCATAAGGGCAACATTGAACCTAGCCATTGGATTTGATTTGGTTCTAGTCCAATTCAGTTTTTGACCAGAATTGTGGAAAGAATTAAGTTTATGAACGGAGGTAACTGCTGTATCTGGGGTTTATAGTTTTTTAATGTTCATAGCACTTTTATGGGCAGACACAATGCCAAGTGTTTTCTTATTATGTTTACTTTAAACAAGCACCCAATGAGGTAGATACTATTATTATCCCCATTTTGTAGACGAGGAAAGAGGTTTCCATACTTTACAGTAACTTGCCCAAGGTCACCCACTTTGGAAGTAGCACAGGTATGACTTGAAGCTGAGTATGTTCACAATAATGCCCATACGCATACCAGTGCAGCCACTGCACCTCCATGTATAGAACTGATATGGAATGTGATGGTGGCCACATTCAGACAAGTTTTTCCTGTAATAAATCGGAGTCATTCAACAAAGTCCGTTTTTTCAAGAAGTTTCCAATACAGAGCATATAAAAGTACTTGCCCAAAGGAGAAATAATGTATAGTTAACTGAAGGAAAGGGGTAACACATTTAGTAAACGCTGTCTACATCGGTGATTAGGTACATTAACTGAAGGAGGCAATAGTGAGCCCTCACAATATATAACATATTCTTTTCTGAAAGCTCCCACCAACTCATGTACCACTTTCCACCTCATCTCCCAGCATGTGGTAATTGATTTGGTTTAAGAATAGAATATTTCAGGACTGGGGATTTAGCTCTGGTTCCGCCACCTGCCTCACAGGCGCAAGGACCTGAGTTCGATCCCCAGTACCAAAAAAAAAAAAAAAAAAAAAATAGAATATATTTCAAAGGTCCAAGGACTCTGATGAAGAGGTTAAAAGCCCAGGATCTAGAGTCAGATTGCTTGAGTGGAGTCCTTAAATCATGTGTCACTTAGCTTCCCTGTGCCTCAGTTTCCTCACCTTTAAATGGAAACAATCATAGTACCTACCTCATGGGGTTGTCATGAGCATCTAAGGAGTTGCTGCTGAGTTCTGGATAGCGTCCCTATAAATATTAGCTGTTATAACATCATTGCTATTATTTGTGCCCCAGTTGGCAGCTCCATGAAGTTGAGAAAGACTGTCACTGGATTTTACATGCAGTTAGCTCAGTGGGTGGCTGCTGAACACTTTCAATACATGTATCCTATGTGATCTTCCCATCAGCCCTGTAAGGTAGTCATGGTCAAAAAAGGCCCAGCTTGGAGCTACTTTTGGGGTTGCAGGGGAAGCAACAGCCCTCATAAGCTGTTTGTCAGTGGGCCTCAGCCGTCACACCTGAAGTGGGCAAAGAAGTAGGCTTCTATCAGCATTTGTTCAAAAGCTCACTTTAGGGGTGCGGTCTTCTTGGCTCCAAGAATGCACTCATAGAAGTACCTCTATTTTGAAATACCTTTGCTTTGTCCAAGTGACCTCCTCCCACACCGAGTACCAGATTCAGCTCAGATTTTTTTCTTAATACTGGCAACACTTAATGCTACTGCTCTGTTCATAACATTTTGTTTAATTTAAAAATCTGCAAAATGTTGTGTATATTTTACCTTAGTTTAAAAAAAATCTCCAAGTGTAGACCACACTCTAGCATTTCTAAAAATAAAAGTAAACATGTTAAAATAAGGTGAGTTTTTGCTGCATTATGTATTTTTAATAGAACTTTTCCTCCATAAAAGAAATGATACCACACACATAGTTCATGTGTTTAACAAGATTTGCTTAGGCTTCAGATTTCCCTCAATAATAGTTTTATTTTTAAACATCCTATCATGAGTTTAATGAAGTAAATAGTATGCTGTCTATAAGCAAATTACCGCAGATAAATGTTTTACAGATCTCAGTATTTCATTGTTTATTAAATTCTGAACTATTGAGCAGTTTCAATATGAAACACCAGCTGGATTCTTTGTAGAAATTAAAGTTCATATGGAAATTCAAGGAACCCACAGTAGTCAATACAGTCTTGAAGAACAAAGTCTGAGCACTCACACATCCCAATTTCAAAACTTACTACAAAGATCCAGTAGTGAAGATGGTCAGTTGATATAATTGTGAAATCTGAAGTGAACCCTCACATTTATGGTCAATTGATTTTCATGACAAGGGTGCCAAGATCATTCAATGTAGGAAAAAGTTGTTTTTTCAAGAAATGGTGCCGGGACAACTGGATGTCCACATGCAAAAGAATGAAATTGCCTCTCACCTCTAACTTCATACCACACAAAAATATTCACTCAAAATGGATCAAAGGTCTAAATGTAAGAGGTAGAACTATACAACTTTTAGAAGAAAATATATGAATAAATCTCCGTGTCTTTGGATTTGGCAGTGATTCCTCAGATAAAGAACAAGCAGAGAAAAATGAATTGGACTTCATTAAAATTTAAAAACTTGTGCCTCAAAAGATTCCGTCAAGAGAGTGAAAAACAAAACAAAAAATATCCCAGGTTGGAAAAACAATTTCAAGTCACATACCTGATAAGAGAATTTTATCTAGGATCTAGATAGACCTTTCTCCAAAGATGTCCAAATGGGCAGTTAAGCACAGGAAAAGTTGCTTAACATCATTAGTCATTAGGGAAATGCAAATCAAAACTACAATAAAATACCACATTTACTGGGATGGCTATACTGAAAGACAATAAGCATTGATGGGGCTGTGGAGAAATTGGACGACTCATGTATGATTGATGGAAACCGAAAATGGTGCAGCTTGGGAAAGTAGTTCCTCGACAGGTTAAACATGAACTCACCATGTGACTTACCAGGGATATGCCCAAGATAAATGAAAATGTGTGCACATTAAAAACTTATGTCCAAGCGGGGCTGGGGATTTAGCTCAGTGGTTCTGCTGCCTGCCTCGAAAGCACAAGGACCAGAGTTTGATCCCCAGTACCAAAAAACAAAAAAAACCAAAAAACTTATGTCCAAGTATTCACACAGCATTATTCATGATAGCCAAGAAGTGGAAACAACTCAAATGTCTATCAAGGGATGAATGGATAAATAAAAATGTGGTCTATCCATACAATGGATTGATATTCAGCAATAAAAGGGAATGAAGTATTGATGCATATTGCAACATGGATGTACTTTCAAAACATTACACTAAATGCAAGAAGCCAGTCCACAAATGGCCACATACCTTATGATTACATTTATACTGGAAAATGCTCAGAAAAGGGAAATCTATGTAGAAGCAGAAAATGGATTGTAGTTTTTTCTAACTAGGATGGGTGCTGGCTAATGGGTACTAAGCTTCTCTGGGGTCTTGAAATTAGTCTAAAGTTGCTTGCAACCATGGTTGCAGAACTATGATATATAGTACTATACTTTAGTACACTTTATCTCAATAAATATATTACAAAACAATAATTTCCAATGTAAACAATCATTTGAAGAAACTCCATTCCTGCCTCATTTGTTCTTCCCTTTTTTCCCCCTGAAATATTATACTCATTTGGCTTCCAAGTTTGATGGCGACTGTTGTGCAAGTCTCTTAGGTGACTGCCATTTTTTCTGACAATCCATGCCATGAGAAAAGTTGACTCCATTTTCCAAATAAGGGTGTATCCAGGCATTCTGTCCAAAATGTATTTGTCCATGTGTCCTAAGGCCAGGAATGTTTTACCCTATTCCTCTGAAATCGTATGCTTCTATGTGAAAGAAGACAGAGTAGGAAAAAGCATTCATCCAGGGTCAAGTATATGGCATGGGGATTAGAAAGATGTTGGGTTGAATATAAAGCTGTTCAGAGCCCCAAAACACTAGGCAAAAGAGTTGGGGCTTTTAGGAGACTCCCCATTCACAGAGGACTTAATTGTGATGTCCAGGGTTGTGTTAGTGTGGCATCATTGACTCACCTCAGCATTTGAAAATGGAAAGTAACTCAAGAGAAAAGAGTTGCTAGCAAAAGCTGTGCTGTGTCCAGGGCCAGGACAGACTCTGGAAGGTCCCACCCTTCTCAGACCCTGCCTCCTTCCTCCATGTTCACAGCTTCTCCCAGGAAAGGGCCCCAAACTCAGCCTACAGATGACGAGTGAGACTGGCTGTACTCGAAAGCTCCTTGCCA